GTTGTCTATAAATAAATGGCTTTTAGAAAAATGGGTGGGCTTTTGCATACAGGTTTAACCTTGGTGTTGTGATGTGGCACTTTGTGTTTGTTTTTTTTAATACAACATAGTCAAAAACACAGCATCAAAGGTAAGAACAAGTTCATTACATAGACACCAGTAATGTAAATATCCCAGTTGTGTCAGAATACTGGTTGGCTCCTGCTTCTCAGCTGAAAGATAATACAGCGAAAGAGGTTTTTGTTTTGTTGTCCTTTTCTTCACCATTTATTGCTCTGTTGTTTTCACCACTTGCCGTATATAATCGATTGCTTGTCCCCTGCTGTTACCATGGATATTTAATACATTGACATGGAAAAGAGACACATTTTTATGAAAAGGAAAATGCAACTACAAAACTCCTCTTGTGCCTGTGCCGTATTTTATGTGGATACAGCCAGTAATGGCTTTCTGCTTCATGTTCTTATCTACCATCTGCACATCTGGATATCCTCCTGTTGTGAGGCTGGTGCCTGGGAGAGCATTATGTGTGAAGGAGCTCCTTGTGTCCATTCTCCCTCCCCGGAGCAGGTGAGAAGGGCCAGGTGCAGGTTTGTAGGTCAATTGCTTTGAAACTCAGAAGCACTTAATGGAAGAGTGGTAAAAGCTGCTCATTCCAGTGGTCCAGTATAGACAAGAATCCAAGGCTCTCCCTTCAGACTCTTAGGTCTGGGTTTTTTGAGATCAAAAGAGAATGCAGTATTTTGAACAAAATGTGTAAGGGCCCACCCTTCCTGAATTGCACTTTTGGTGGTATGTTCTGTCCTCCAGCTGTAAGACACTACAGAAGGGTTTGGTTTCTCCCCTTCCTGTCCTTCTTGACTATATATCATGAGAGAAATTTAATAGATGTTTTTACAGAAGTCTCTGATCCTACACTGCTCTCATTGTGCCTGATTGTTCAGTGAGGAGAGCTGTTGATCATTAACAGTTTAAGCCTAGCACCTCTAATTCATCAGAAGTTCATGTAATGTATTACTTACATTAGATGTAGGTGCCAAAACTGACCTGTAAACCTAAAATTAAATTGGGACTACAAAATTAATTTCATTTAGATTGCGAAAATTAGACTATAAATGGAATTCCTGTGGGAACTGTGCAAAGCTTCTTTGACATTGATTTAATGTAATTCTTTTCTTAATTGGGTAACTTTAAATTGTGTAACTGGTACATAGTTTTAACCAGCACAGATCTGTAGCAATTCTTGCAGTAAGATGAGTACTAACAGGAACATTCTGTGGTGTTTTTGAATTTAAGGATCACAGTGTATAGCTTTATTGCAGATGACTAGACAGTCAGGGGTCATGCTCACTCCCCAAACCTCATCAGATAGGTATTGATACGAAGCTGTCATGTCATTTGTTGAACATCTCCATCCAGTCAATATATTTTAATTTATAAAATGTGCATGCACAGGATAACACCAATTCAGGGTAAAGACTTATTTTATGGTAAAAACTGAATTCAGAATCTGAATTTCAAGTCATAACCATTAACACCTAATTTGGGAAAATTTTGAATTAAAGACTTAATTTTTCAAATTGGACCCAGGAATTCAAGGTCTGAGTAGCTCTAGAACAAAAATTCACATTCTCTTAATAGATGGCAAGTGTGTGTGCTTGTTTTATGCATGAAGTTAAATTGAGGGCTGAAATTATTCTGAATCATTCAAAGGTTCATGCTCTAGATGACAGCATATTCTGCTTGGTATGCTGCTAGTAACAGTATTAAATTTTCCTTTTTTTCTTTAGATTTAGCCATATTCTTGTTGGTTTTAAAGATAACATGTTCAGATCTGCTTCTTCAAGTTTTACTCTGCCTGTGAGTAAATTCAGAGGGCTGCATTAACACATGCACTGTCTGTGTATGAGAGCTTGGGCATTAGATTCTCTCTGCAGGGGAATGTTTAGGGCACTCGAGGTAATTTGACCTACGAAAACACTGATTTTGAATGTTTTACTGAAAATAACTCATAATATCCTGACACTCTGTAAAATGTATGACAGTGCTTTTAAGCAGGGAAGAATATGCTGAGTGCTGGGTCATCTCAGAACTTGCTTGAAGTTTTCTGGGGTCTGTTACTCAGCAAGTATTGTTTAGCACAGTATTGTCATGGTCCTTCTCTTTGTAGGTGCAAAAGCAGTTGTAGTGTTGGTCAGGCTGTGAAGAGCACAGCTGCACACCAGACCTCAATCATTTTAGTTTTCCAAAATAATCACTAAAAGGCTGCCTTGCACAACACCTAATTCATCTGGGCACTATTAAACATCCTTTTGTATCAGTAGAGTTCTTAAAATGAATTAATTCTTCCAGACACAGCATGTGCTCATAGCAGGCAGCCCTTGCATGTTCATTCTCCCTTCGGCATGCTTAGGTCTGATCTTCTCATCTTGTAGGTTTAATGTCTTAATTGTCTATATATGTCCTTCCAAGAAGGCACTGCCCTTTCCTTGATGAAGTCAAGTTTTTTTTCTTTCTAAGGTTTCATTCCAAGGAATGTCAAGGAACAAGCTTTTAAGACCCTACTGTACTGTATTTGCAAAGAAAAGTAAAATGTGACAAATAGGAATACACTTTAAAATGGAAAATCGTACCACCAGCAAAGACTTGAGAGAGCTTTTGGCAGCTAAAAATATATGCACATTCTTCTCCCAGCTCATAAGAAAAAATGGTACGGGAAATTTGCACAAATACAGTTCCAAAAAGGAAAAAGAGAAAGAGAATCCTTCATTAACAGAAACTTAGAACATCCTGAATCCTCTCATATTACAGCTTGACCCAACCCTATTCAATAATGAAAACAGTTTACATCAAGAGGGGGAGGTAGATTTGCCTTTCTGGTAAGGTGTAACTTTATAATTGAAGATACTACTAATAAAATGTGCGTGTTGCAGAAGCAAAAATGAGTCACAGCTTGAGACCTTCCCTGGCTTGACTAGATGGGACTTTAAGCTACAAGATAAAGCATTATATGCATTACTTTTGCAATCTACAATGAAAGTAGCCATCTATTATTGGATATGTTCTGTATTGCAATCATAATAGTGTTAGCTGCTAGGACCATAAAAACTGTTAAGGGATATGAAAACGCTTAAGCTATAAAAAGCATATTTGTATGATTCTGTAGATGCTCTGATCAAAACACAATGTGCTTCAATAAAAAGAAAATGCAATTTAATTTTCTCTTGTCAGTGATAACATGTTCCATGGCTTTTGTTTCCTGCATGGGAAAGAGGAACAGCAGAGAACAGAGGCTGAACAGGTGTTTGTCCTGCAGCTGAACCCACAACGGGCAGACTTTGTGGGTTCTGTCTTCCTGGACACAGAATTTTGGCTGAACAGAGAGAGTTGCAAGGTCAGAGTCAAGCACGGAAAATATTTCCCTTTCAAACTAAAGCTTTTATGTGCACAACAAGGAAATGTATAGTGTCATTCGGTGCAGTGCTGGATATTCCTAACAACTTGTTCGCCTACCAAAGCAAAGTAGATTACTTTTGAGGTCCATATCTGAATGTAGTTTCAGATATTAAAGAAAGTAAGTTGGGTTGGTTTGTTCTAATAAGAAAAACAGAATTGGAGAAAGTATTTCCTAGTAGAAGTGCACTGAAAGTATTTTATGTGGTAAGTCCAGCATTCCAAGATTGAATCTTTAGTCTTTATTTTTTTCCAGTGAATGTACACATGATCCAGTAATAACAAAAGTTAGCAGAAACATATTTTAGTAAAACCTCATTAATCAAGGCAATCTGATATAGTATACCTGATATTCATTATATTTAATGAGAAATCACTGAGCAAATGTGCTCATTAGTTCCTTAGGTATTGGACAGCTCTGTGAGAGGTCCTTGTCTAAGCCCTGTTTCATGGACTGTACATTTAACAAGCTCCACCAATAGCTCTGGGCTAACTGCTTCCTGTTCCTCGGGCACTGGCAGTGTGTCTGAAATGTTATAAAACGCGTGGAGGCTGCAGACCAGGCTGGTTGTTTATGGGGGTGCTGAAATCTTGGATTCCACATCCTCCTGTGCTGTTTCTCATGCTATGTGTGCTTTTGGCAAGGTGCTGCTTCATGGGCCGTGTCTCCCTGGCATTCACAAGCCGTGTGGCCCTTCAGTATCTGATCACTTCAACAGTTAGTCCAGGCTTTGAAAAGCCTCCTCAAACTCACACCCCTGCCTACTGACTGCTTTTATTTTGTATTTGCATATTGTGCCCATAAGGGCAGTGGGCTCCTGGTTCATTGTAGGGTTGAAACTATATGATCTGGGGTTGAAACTAAATGATCTCCAAAGCCCCTTCCAGCCCAAACCGTTCTATGATTACAGGACTATATACAGTAACAGAATTGAGGTTGAACTGTTCGCTCAGTAGAATTAGTTCCTCTGCTCTGAACCTGATCCACCTTGGATGATGGAATGGAAGAGCAGTCTGTTCACTAAATCAGCCTGAGTATATTAATTGTAGTCAGTAACTGTACCAGTAGCAGTAACAGGGATGGTTTCTTGAATTCCCAAGTTTAAACTTCTCGGAGTCCAAGGTGAAAGCCTGAAGAGAAGATGGTGCTATTTGTAATTAAAACAGCTCCCATGTGGGGAAAAAAAAAGTAGATTGAAGATTGAAACAAGGCTATGTGGACATCCATCCGTATAATTTGGTTGAGATAATGGAAAAATAGTCTGTACAAAGAAAAACCCATTTTTTTGTGGTGGTGGTCAGATGTTCTTAAGTTGTAAAACAGCTTTAAATTTAATAATTTTCTAAACCTAGTATAGATGAGACACGAGTCAAAATCAGAGGACTCATGCGATGGGCTCGGTTCCTATCACATCGATTAGCCAAGACGATACTTTTCGTCCTGCTCTAAAAAAAAAAAAAAAAAAGAAGGCACAGAAACAATCGCAACAGCTCTAATCCAGAGCTGGGCCATCATTTAGTGTTACTCATTTTAAACCCAGACACGCCAGCGTTCGCTCCCTGCAGTGGCGCGCCCGGGGGGCGGCACCGCCGGCGAGCGGCGCTTTGTTGCCGCAGGACAGCGGCACCCGGGGCAGCGGGGGGGGTCCGCTGTCCCCGTCAGCACCGAAGGAGGGCCGCCCTCGCACTGCGGGCAGCGCTGCGCTCCTCGTCCCGAGCGCCCTGCCCCGTCCGGCCGTGCCCGCCCCCGCGTCCACCGCCTTCCCCGCTCCTCCTCCCGGCCCGCCAGCGCTGCCCCCGCCAGAAGGCGGCCGGGCCGCCTTCGACAGCGGCCAGAAGATGCGGCGGCCGCGGGCATGGGCGCTGGCTGGCCCTGGCGCTGTGTGTCGAGCGCGGCGGCCGCGCGGGGCCCGAGGGAAGCGGCGGGCGGGGCCGGACCCCAAGAAGAAGGACATTCGGGACACAACGACGCGGGACATGCCCGGACTGCGTTGGAGCAGTGGGAGGTGCGGGAGGGGCCGGGACCGGCGGGCGGTACCAGCGGGGAGCCCGCGTGGCCTGCGAGGAGCGGGGCGGGCCCCGCGCTGAGCGGGCTCGCTGCCGAGCGCCGAAGGGGTTGCGGCCCCGGGCCTGGTGGTGACCGGGAGGGCGGGATCCCCGAGCCCGGTGCAGGGTGGCAGGTGGCGGTTTGTTCCTTCCGAGCCTCTGGGTCCTTGTGGGGGGGTTGCAAAGTCCGGGCGAGGGCCACAGACGCGTCTGCTGGCGGAGCTGCCCTCAGCCTGCCCTGCCGCCCTGTCCCGCTTCCCGGCCATCGGTGCACGCCAGCAGCCTGGGCATCTTAAAAATCAGGGGTTTTTAGAGTATTGAGGATTATTCATTTTGCGACCGAGGGGGTCATACCAGGAGGAATATTCATTTCACGTTTACGTGAATGGATATGTAGTGGTATTGGTTTTGTTGGTTTTCTTATCGCTCCTCGCAGTAAAGGCTTCTCATTCCAGCTCTCTTCGTCCTCCTTCACCCCCATCATCCCGCTGCCTTAACTTTCCTTGGTTTCCCATCACTCTCTTCTCCATGTGGTTGTCATGCTACTGTTCAGTTCCTTTCACTATTTTGTCTTCCATCATCTTCTGTTAAATGCCAGAGCACTCATCACTGTCATTTTCTCTTTCCCATGAGGTTTTTTCATGGAATATGTTGCACAAAAACTGAAGGAAATAATGGAGTGAAAACTTCTGTTTCCAATAACACCAGTTACAGCTGTAAGTCAAGGTGGAGAAGTAGGTTTTGAATGTGAAATGCAGTTGAAGTAACTTCCGTGAGAAGTAAGGATGCTTGCCTTGGTCCTGGTTTGAAGGCTGGGGACTTGTTCATCTCATGGACTGTTACTGTGCATCTGCCTTTAGGAAGGGAGGTTCTTAGAAAATTGAGTTAAAATTTGAAATAAAATCAGAAAAAAACCTCAAAGTTTGCCTTTCTGTTACTGGGATCAGCCAAGGACCCAGTAGTCCTAGCTGCTAAAAAATCAGGGCTTAAATGATAATATTGCCCAACTTCAACCAAATTTGGCATTGTAGGAAACAGTCTTACAAGATGAGCATCTCTGAGTTTGAGCCAGATGCCTGGATGAAAGGGAGGCTCAGGTTAATGCTGGTGTGAGACTGATTGTAGTTTTGTTTGTGCCCTGTGGCACACAGGTCAGGAGGCTGTTGAGGGTTTTTCCTCTTCAGCTGGAGCAGGTCTCTGATCCAGGCCACCATGTGCAGCACAAATGCTTGTGGCCACGTTGTGTGCAGATGTGGCAGAGTGGCTGTGGAGTTGCTGCTCAGGCTGGTGTTGCCTCTGAGGAGAGACACAGAGAGCAGAGCCCCAAAAGAACAGAGTTATTACTGAGGCAGGGCTCAACAATTAAGGGCTGTTTGGTCTCTGGGATGGTCAGCTGCATGGCATTTTGCCTGGTGGGAGTCAGGATGCACAGGGACCATGAAAGACTTGAGGGGGTGGTGGCTGGAGGACAGAGGAGAAAAAAGGGCATGAGTGCACTTGATGGAGTAGGATGAGAAACAAAGGGGCCATTGTGAATTTGGATAAGAGCAGGAATTATGCTTGGGAGTGAGGGGCACAGGGCATGGAACTGTACAGAATCAATTCAGTAGAGTGAGATGACTTCTTATATTTTTTATTTCTCAGGCAATTCATTTAAAACCACTGGAGGATGGTGGCTATAACATGCCTGGGTTTGGCCATGAGCCTGGTGAGGCTGAGGCTGTGTCTCCAGCAGCCTTCCCAGCAGGAGCAGCCACCTCTCTGTGCCGGCTCTCGTGCTGCCCCTTGCACCATGTGCATGACTGCCTGGTGATCCAGGAGAGTGATCTAGTGGAAAACGAGTATAGGGAACAGGGAGAAGAGGCAGAGGCACTTCAGCAGCTTAGTTGCACAACTAGAGCTTGAAGGAAGGCACTGAGGGATTCCCCTCATGGAAGGGGACTCTCCAGAAGCCTTGAGTCCTGGGGAGCTGGAAACAGAACTGAGAATCTGGTCCAGAGGTCTCTCTGTTACTGAAAGGTCACGTGCTTTAAATAGTTCATTGTTGTTATAAGCTCAGGGTTTCTCAGGCTTGACTCTGAGCTAAGGTCATTGGATAGGTGGAGGAATTTAGTGACATGTTGCTAATGTTTTTAAATATAAAAATCCAGGGCATTTATGAGAAATGTGTGAGAATGGAGAGCTGAGGGGAGGAGCAAGGGAAGGCATATGTAATTATTACTGTGTCTGTAATGCTTTCCCTCTGGAACCTCATGCTACTGTTAAAGTGAATGAGTCTGCTAGACTTTTCAAAGGAAAAGCTTACGCTTCCAGGTTTTTACTTTGTAAATAGCTTTATAAACACTAAACAGCATGATAGTTGGTACAAGATCAAGAAAAGAATTGTCATTTAAGGGAGCTTTTGACAGCTTCTCATAATAGTTCCAATCAAATGGTAATAATACAGCTTTAGAAGCATTTAGTTGAATAGTTCAGGGAAAAATAGGTGGTGTGTGTTAGTAGGTTGTGTTGTCACTAAATCCGAAGTCAGTTTCTGTATTGCATAAGGAGTATTTGGAAACGTTTCTTTCTGCCTTTCTCTTTCAAAACTGTGAAATAAGCTGGCTTTGCACTAGCCAAACCAGACTAAATTAAGGATCAGTTTGCTTTTAATTCTGAAGAACGTTTTTCATTCAGTCATGTAAGATTTTGTATTTTTAGTGTACTTCACCAATCTCAGCATTTTCCAGCTTCCTCCAAGATAAGTAATGTTCCCACTTACTGAGAGCAGTGGGACTTTCCTGGGGCTCTCCTTTCCTCCCAGTTCACTTAATATGAAAATTTCAAAGGCATGTGAACTACTTGAAGGCATTTCAGACTTGCAAAATTGAAACAGATATTTAGTAAGGAAAGAAAGGATAAAATCTAAGGCTTCTACAACTTTTGTTCGGTGGTACCTAAACTTTAGACACGCTTGTCAGGAAGACAACAAACTCCATGGAAATGAGGTGGGGAAAGAACATAAGTCACTTGTATAAAACTTTAACCTTTAAAGGCTATGGTGTTGTAGGAGGATGATGTTGGGTTTGTGTACATGCCTGTGCAGAGATGTGAGGGTAATGCATACTAAGTCCTAAAAATCAAGCTTGGCTCCTGACCTTTGAGGCCTCTGAAGGGGATATCTTTAGATATTGCTGCAGTTCATGTTCCTAATAGTCATGTGTATTTGAAGTCATGACAACACCTAAAATATCTGCCTTAATTCCTGCTTATTTACTAGTGCTTGGGTGGATGCCAGTGTAAGACTTATGGGTTTTTCTGTTCTATTTTTTGCTTTTTAATTCTATGATACAAACACTGTCTAAGAAATCAAGTTCTGGCTTAATGTAGGTTGTCACTATATTCACTCCTCTGTTGTGAGCTGTTTCAAGGGACAGCAGTTTGAATTGTGCCTTTCTAAATATTTAAATGCCTGTCAGCCTCAGCAAAGTCATCAAGAGGGGTTTCTTTTCTTTTTTGTAAGAGTGATTTATTCTTGGTGATTATGTTGTCAGACTGTGAGCTGCATCTGTGCATTAGAAAAGTCATGAAACCTTTAATAAAATCTTCCTGTGGCATGAACATTGAAAATCTGAATTCATGTGGTTTTATTTATTTAAAGAAACAAAGAAAGGAAAATTAAATTCTCAAGCAATTGCATGATTCCCAGAGGTGAGTTTTGACCTCTGAAAGCAAAATGCAGATGAATGATTTTTTGTTTATGTGTATACAAGGGTTTTTTATTGTGACTTTCTTATTTCATCTCATATACTTAATACATTTTTGTGAAACTGTGAAGAAAAAAAAAGTGTTATTTTATGAATTTCCTAGGTGGAATTGTATTGAATTAGCCTTGAGGCTGAAATATTTCTCAGTACATGGTAAAATGAAATTCTACCTGTCAATACAAAAATGTGTATCATTTTGAGGGGAGGGTTATAAATGGAAAGAGCACTCCTGGTGAAGTTCCTGAAAAAAAAGTCATTGTTTCTTTTGGTTCCAAAATCTCCATCATTAAACTAAAAAATATTTTGTCAAAAAAAAGTTATTTTCTAAGCAAAGAAATTTCAAAAAAAAAAGAACATCCTGTTGGAACAACTTAATTTAAAGCCTCCTTGTCCTTTTCAAAACAGAAAGATGATGACATCGAAGAGGGAGATCTCCCTGAACACAAGAGGCCTCCAGCACCAATAGATTTCTCAAAAATTGATCCAGGCAAGCCTGAAAGCATCCTGAAGCTGACAAAAAAGGGGAAGACTTTGATGATGTTTGTCACGGTGTCGGGAAATCCCACAGAAAAGGAGACAGAAGAAATCACCAGCTTGTGGCAGGGCGGCCTCTTCAACGCCAACTACGACGTGCAAAGGTAAACTGTGATACACAAGGATAAAGTTCCTGCCTTTGCAGAACTCTTGTTTCTTTCTTCCTGAAAACCTTTTGTCATCCTGTGTCATTCCCCACCTCCATAATCCCTTACTATTTATTTGTTTCTGTATCACTTTATATTCCAATTTGTTTCAAGTCAGGCTACAAAACCACTAGTGTGGTGCACAAATCTTTTCAGTGCTTACACATGGTGTGTGTATATATAGCCTGGATTCTTTTTTTCTCATTACTTTTCAGCTATTTATCAATTTTAGCTGCTGTAGTTTGCCTTTATGTGCATAGTGGAAAACATCACACTTGGAAGACTTGTCACCACAAAAGGCCTTTTGTTCCCCTGGCTAAAAAATGTGACTTTTTTTTTTCCTTTCTCTCAGACAGAGGGGATCATTTTGAAACAGGAGAATGTTGCGCTCTTGTATTGAGGCTGAGAAGGGTTGCAGAAAGTGTATAAAGCAAATTCAGTGCTCATTAGTAGATTTTACATAGTCCCAAATTAGTTCTTAAGTTTTCTTGATATAAAGAAATAAACTATAAACTTATAAACTAATACAATTCATTCTTAAACATCCTAGACGATTGTTCTCTTGTCCCTATCCCCAGGCAACAACAAGACCAGCATCTTTCTCTTAAATGTGTGCCTCAGTTGTGGAGGTGCTCTGAATTAAGCAAATGCTGTAGTATTTGAAAAGCACAGAGTTAACTGAAAAAGATATGGGTCTTTCCTTTAGGTTTATTGTTGGCTCCAATCGGGCCATCTTTATGCTCCGTGATGGTGGCTATGCCTGGGAGATCAAAGACTTCCTGATAAATCAAGAAAGGTGTGCGGATGTCACTCTGGAAGGTCAAGTTTATCCTGGCAAAGGAGCAGATGAAAATGAGAAAGGGAAAAACAAAACGAAACCTGAAAAAGCAAAGAAGAAAAAAGATGCTGAGAAGAAATCCAGTAGCATTAAAGAGGACAACCGAGCGACCCAACAGAGAGAGGAGCTATGACGGACGCGTTACCCAGACTGAACCCTGCTCTGCTGCTCCTTGGAGGGAATCTCCTTATGAGTCCTGGGTTTTGGGGGGTGGAGGGGAGGAAGCAGAGACTACTGAGGTTTAAATTTTTGTGTTGAAATTCACCAGTTTACTCCTTGCTGTTGGCCATTTGTTTCGTTTCGGGAAAGATGACACTTCATACCGGCAATTGACTACTTTAGTTTGTAATTTTTTATGCTTTTGTTGCTGTTTAAAATTAACATACGAATCTGTGTGTCTAACATCAAACTTAATTTAAGTGAAAAAGAAGAATTATGGTCTCAGAATACGCTGATGTTCATCTGTAGATATCCACCTTGGATGTGCAGGTGGGTCATTGATTCGCAGCTGCTGTCAGACAGCCAAGTGCAGTGCGAAAGGATTCTCTGGGAAGCCAGTTTGACAGACTCAGCTGGTGCAAAACTCCCAAAGTTGCAAAGAACAGTGTTACAGTGGCCAAAGATGCCTGAAATTACAGGGTTTAGGACATGTCTGGTTAGACTGCTTGTTTATTTAAAATAAACTTAATCTGTTCTGTCCCAAGAAATCCTTGGAAGTGCTAAGGAGCATGGTAGAAGCTAGGCAGGTACTAGGCTAATGCACTCCAAATCCATGCAGAAAGGAGATTCTGTGCCCTTCAGAAGTTAATGGAATTACAGCACCTGCATGAGCAGTATTGGGGTGAAAGGAAAAGCCAAATTTGGGGCATTCAGAACTGTGCCTGTGGAAGCAAATGTTATGTGTGCCCTGTTACCCAGATGGCGAGTGAAAAGAAATAGCTTTAACTCGGAAGTTAATTGGGTTTATTGATTTAACGGTTTGTTTAAATATTTGAAAAAGCTCTAGTCACAATACAGAGTTAAAATTTTAGTTAGACATATCACTTACTGATGATTAATAACCAGATTTGGGGTTGGATTTGCTTTTTTTTTTGGTACAAATTCCTGACTGATGTGATTGATTGTAAATGACCACTTGATTTGAATACTATGAAGTTTGATGTATGGGAGCAAATACTTTATATAATTGGGAAGGTTATGTTGTTATTCAGAACGTATTCAGTCAAAAACATTGCTTAGAATTGTTTGCCTTCTGCCTTACTCTCTGTTAGGGACTAAATGCACCTAGTAGTATGGTCCACATAATTTTCCAGAGGATGAGCACAGTATTAACTGTCTTCATTCGATGCTAGTAAGAAGTTACTTTAACTCTTTATTTAAGGTGCTAAAATCCAAGTGTTTTGGATAAAAGGTCCTACTTGAACCATAATGGTTGACCTTGTGGAATACTTCAGTATCAAAAGTACGAAACTGTGTTTGTTCTAAAATAAAAGATGTCACTAAACTTGCTGTTTCACAGAGTAGTAAACCTTTTAAATAATTCTGCATTTGGTTAGGTATTCCAGGGGCAGACTAACTCATTTTTGGTTTCTGTATGTAAGGACTAAATGATGCTGATGAAGGTTCCGGGTGACCCATTTTATTTAATTTTAATTATATTTGTGTGAATTTAGGATTAAAGAAACCTTTCCAGCTGCACTTCATTAAATAGGTCTGTGCCTGTTTGAATGGAAAAATTAAAATCATGTGTTTCTTCAGGATTAACTGTATTAATTTTTATATTCTGCTATTAATCCGGATGTGTAGCGGAGTTGAGAAGTCTCAGTAGACGTTTGGGTAGGAGAGATGCGCAGTCCATTTCTTGTTCATAACTAATTTATGATTTAGTCACATATTCTGGGTTTGCACCACCGTTTTTAAACAGTATTGCTTCTCATCTCAAGAGAGGAACAGAGGTGAGATGAAACTTTAAAATTGAAATATTAATGATTTTTTTTCTTTTTATAACTTAAATCTGTAGTATAGAGATGACAATTCAGATTTTGATCAAAAACACTGAAAATGCAGTTTTTGTAGTTCTCATGTTACGAAACATAAACATGATTTTTTTTTTTTTTTGACAAATTGGGTTTGAGAATGTTTGAGAAACAATTACTGCACTATAGCTATAGCCTAGCTTTTGAGAATAGATACTTTAGTCATTCATAAATCTACATTTACAGTAGGTTGGGGTTTTCCCCTTTGTAGTTAAAAGAAGCTTTGTCAAAATTGAACCAGGCACTTGACCAAGTTTTTTTGTTTGATTGTTTCTGAGTCATTAAGTTGCCTATGCCAAATGCAGGTACGTCTTGTGCCCCATAGCTTATTAAAATTTCAAAGTGTTTAGGTTTGTTTGGGTTTTTGTTTGTTTGGGGTTTTTTTTTTAGGTTTTTAATAGGTATGATGACTTGGCAGTTGCTTTTAGATATAAAATACAAAATGCTGCCTTCAAGTAGGTTTTTTTGTCTTCCATTTTTCTTCTCCCTTTTTTCATGCTTTACACTCAACACATAACTGAAATACACTATTAAGTATAGTATGGCAGTGTGGAGCAGGAACTGCTTTACCAGCCAGTCTTTCTCTGGTATCACAGTTCATTACTCCAAAACAACTTAGATTGCCTTTTGAAACTGGCAAAGTCTTTGAGACCCTTGTACTTGTCCTGGTACAGTGTTACATAAGCAAATTTTATTTAGTGATGATTTAAGAAGCCCAAGCGCTATCATGCACATAAATATATGTATATATAAAAATAAATGTCTTCAAAAAGTTACTTAAGGTCACCAACATTCTATAAGTACCTCAGAAGATTAATTCTTCATTGGAGTCTTATCAGGCTTTCAATAACATATTTTTTTGGTTCTGCATACAGGGCATTCAGATACCTCCTTTAGAACTAATTTCAACAGGTAGGGTGGTAATTATAGCTCTTACTATTTCCTTTTTATTTCAGTTCTGTACAGAGGTACATGGAAAATCACCTGTTTTCATGACAACTGTCTGCTGGCTTTCTCCCCCCCAGCTTATTGGTTTGTATGTTTAGTGCCATAACCTACTTTTCTAAGTTACTGTTATATTTTTAACACAGCTGTCCTTCTCAGAAAAAAACCCAATAGTTTGTCAGTGATACTGCACAAGATGTGGTTGCACTTTGTGAAAAATTTCCAATGGACAATCAACTTTTTATGTAATAAAATACTGGAAAAAATATTCTGGCTTTTTTTTTTTTTTTTGGTTGGGGGCAGGTTTGTGGTGTTTTGTTGTGGCTTTTTTGTTGTTTAAGATAAGGCACACAGTATATATTAGCATTATCTGTAAAAATCACTTTACATCCTGACCTACAAGATTACAGGTGCATCCACTGTTCTTGAAGGCTGAACTTCATCAGCAGGTAGGGAATTTGATGTTTAAATTGCCAGGACCAGGGCTCAGAAGACCCAAGGCAAGTTCAGGGTGCAGTGAGTGAATGAATGCTGGCAACTGAATTTATAACAAATTCTAGAATCATTTAGGTTGGAAAAGATCTTTAAGATGATCAAGTCCACCAACTACTAAATCCTACTAATTAAGAGATGCAAGGAGTGTCCATAATCATTTAAGAAGGACAGGAATTGCAAGTGCTGTTGTTACAACACTGCTAAGATTTATCTGTGATGGTGCAGCAATGTTCCCTCTAATGCCCTGCCTGTTGCCAGCCTTCCCTCTATCTCCTGCACATCCCGTCTCTTTATACACATCACTTGCCAGCAGGGAAGTTTGTGATTCCCATTTCTTTTTCAGCTTCTCAGAGTTTGCCTTTAGCTTTGTTACTGTATTTATTATTAGGTGATCTCCCAATTTCTAAAATTCTATCTTTAAGCCTGTTATGACAATTGGGACAGGATTTCTGATCTTAAGAGTGGTCAAAGCATTTCTCTGAACAGTCAGGTCAGCCTTGACTTCTAGGAGACTCAATGTTCCTGTTACTGTTCCTAAACTCTTTCTATTTTCTCCTGAAAAGGAAATCATAAATTAATACACCAGTTTGCTAAGATACAGAACAACCTACTTTTGTCTGATACTTGGCTGCTGTTCTCAAGGGGTTTATGCTAAGGCTTGGAAATTATTTCCAGTCTTTATCTGTGGCTCATTTCCTTTTCTATTCAAGGAGTAGCACCATTTGCCTTTCCCAGAAGGTTTGTTTTTTTTTAATTGCACTGGACATTTATAGAAATTTAAAGAACCCGTGCCTGAATACTGGGAGGCCCCATTTTTAAAATGCCTATTTCATTGGTACTCTTGTGTTTCTCATTACTAAGATTATTGACATCCTAATAGGTCCATTGATACATTTCCATTTGATCTTTCTCTGAGATAAAATTAACTATTTTTGCATATCAGTACTTTCTATCTTTCATACTGTGCCATTTTAACAGGACAAAACCCACTGAATTTAGGTAAAATATCAAATTGCAAGGAAGGCTAGAGCTGCTTGGATTCAAGAAGGAAAAACACTCCACTTGGATTTTTGGTTGATGGTATGTTTTCTCCTCCAGTAGAGAAGTCAGGTGATGTAGGGGGTTGGAGTTCTCTGCAGTGCAGGTTTTGATTAGCATTTAAAAAGCTGATGTAACATTGCAATCAAGCATGACACAGTGTGCCAGCCTTTAGCCAAGGACAGCTGGTAAATGGTAAATGCTTTGTTTCTTTCCCATGTATTATATTTTCACTGCTGATACTGGTGTTGCCTGGGTTATCAGTGACATTATATCATTGTATCTGTAATATGAAAACCAGATCTGTTAACCACCATTTAAATTAACAGTAATAATTGATCTTAAAAAAAAAATTGGGCTATATATATAGTATATATATATATATATAATTTTTTATTATTATTACATAGACATTGGTATTGTGAGAGGAAGAAACAGGACAGTTAAAGGAGCTCTGAAAGAGCAGCACAGAGGTGACCTGTATCAGAGTTCTGAACATTCAGGTGGCTCAGTGACTGCTGGGGCTGTGACAATAATCCTGTTGGTAACATCCTTGGCCTGGACATGGCATGAAATGGGGAAAGAATGTGTTGATTCTTGACACTTCTCAGAAACAGAAACTTTTTTCTTTATTAGCCCACTATTGCTGTGTCTCTGCTCTGTTGCCGTTGGACAGAAGAGACCCTCGTTTTTTACAGAATAGGGACTAAAATGATCGAATTCATGAGGTTTAGAACCAAACCTTTTTTTTTCTCTTAGGTAATTTAGTGGTACTTCCAAAAAAACTGGGTCCATCTTTACTGCCTATAGCATCTGCTGCTTTTAAAGGTAATTATTAGCTATGTCTGAACAAAGGCTGGGCTTCTGCATTGGTGCCATGCTCACTAATTCTGTGGGGAGCACTGACCAGAGCATTGAGCACTCCTTAAATCATTAATATTTAAAGCCATTTGAGTGCCTTCACTGACAGCAGAGTTACATGTCAACAAGGCTCTGTGTGTGCTGGAAAGAGCAAGGCCCAGGAATTTGCTTGCAAGGTGCAAGGATTGAACAGCACCATGAGGTGACCTGGATTTTGCTGTAACTTATGTAAAGTTTTCTTTGTAATGAGGAAGACTGAATTATACAGGAATAATTGTACTGCAAAGGTGTATTGGAAAAAAAATAGTGTGGTTGAGCACATGATGAGTCAATGAAGAAACAGAGGTTTAATATGTGTATTTATGTGATAATTGCTTATTATTTCCCAGATCCATGCCTACAGGCTGTCCTGTATATTTGGTTGGGTTTTGGTTTTTTTAACTTGTCCTCAGTGCAACTTTATTTCATTCAGCTTCTTTTGCAAAAAAATAAAAATTAGTCATTTTTCATCTCCCTCATCTAAACTGATATTTCATATCAGTTAAGTGCATAACTTAAATTACACAATACTTTTGTATGGATATTTTATTATTCATCCTGTCAGTTGTAACCACAGCCATACCCCTGTGATTTGATAGTCAGCTGTTGATTTTCAGGTGCTGTAAAACATGTTAATAACTGTGTGGACTTTAGATAATTGCAGTTATAACAGGATGGAGTTGCCAGGGAGATTAATGGAAGCCCAGACATGCAAGTGCTTTGGCATTTAGGGCAGCAGTTGAGCAGGAGATTTTGAAAAACTCAACTTTCTTTGCTTTGATGTGGCTGCCAGGTGGTTTGTTGTGAGCTAATGAGCTGTGTAACCTAACAAGGGAAAGGCCACTTTCCATCTTATCACTGATCCTCCCAACCCCTGTTCCCACATAGCACCACCATTTAAGCCATATTGGTGAGTTCTCAGATAACCCCAGTGAGGCCTGAAATATATTTCAGCCACACTGTTATTTTCAGCAGTAGTGATAAGCCAGGACAGTTTCTCTTTCTGGGATGAGAAAATCAACTTTAGATTTGTAACAGGGCAGACCATGCTCAACAGACATCCAAATGCTGAAGTGGTACCAGTTGGATACTGGAACTGGACTATGGGAAAGCAGAAATAAAAGTCAAGTCGACTGCAATTATTTCCTGGGGTATTGCTATCAACTGACAGACCCTTGGGTTTCAGGTGAGGTATCTGTGCTTTAAGAAACATTATCCTGTACTACTCATCCAACATTAACAATAGGAGAGGAGATGAGGTTACGGTGGATCTGGGAATTTCATTTGATCTCACATTACACCCTTGGGCAAAGGAGGAGAAATAGTTATTTTTAAGTGGCTTCCTCTAGAGCAATGTCCTGTTGAGTTCTGTCACTGCTCCCTTATCAAAGGCCCCTTTCCATGTCCTGGTACCACTCCTGACTGTTGAGATACTCCATCTGAGACTTACACTCAGAAACTGCAAATCATTCTGTTTGCAAAGTGATGGAGGTCTCTCTTGGGTTTTGTTTTTAAGTTTATACAGTGAGTGTAAGTGTTGGGTTCATCTCCATGGCCAAGGGATCACCACAGGGAGGAGCTTCTGGAGGTGTGTTTGGTGAAGAAGCCATGCAAGAGGAAGGAAGGGTGTAGCTGCAGTGGTGGTTTCTACACATCCCTCCCCCATCCTTTGGTCAGAAAGAAAGTGGGGTGACGGAACAGCTGCTGAGATGCTCTTTGGGGTGCAAAAAGCCTGGACACATCACAGTGGCTTCAGCTTCTGGTGGAGGTGATGCACTGGCTGGTCAGAAGGTCTGCAAAGGTTGCATAAAATGCACTTTGAGGACTTGGTAAAACATTTCTTATGGTCCAGCAGATTTGGAAGAATCAAAGCTCTGTAAAGCAGTGCAGGGAGCATCCCTTCCTCCTGTAGCTGCCAGCAGAAGCTGTGAGAGCTCAGTTAGGCGCTTGTTGCCCAGAAGAGACTGACAAGGAGCATGACGCTCAGCTGGGACATCACTGTCATGTGGGATAGGGAAGCGCTGGGAGAGCCGGGAACGGAACCACCCGGGGCACGGTGGGAGCGGGAGCTGCGCCCAGCGCGGCCACGAGAGGGAGCCCGCGGACAGGGAACGGCTGCGCCGGCAATTACCGATAAATGATGTATAATTAATATAATATAATTATAATATAATATATATGTATCAGTAATTCGAACTGTACACAAGTGGGCAGGGTGCATTTCCAGTTTCCTGACCTGTCATCTCCTCTAATGCACTAGCTACTATTTTGATACTTGGTTAAAAAATATATGTGTTTGGATGTTAGAAATGCTGATTGCTCCATAAAAAAAAAAATCCCATTCCAGTTTTGGACCCTACAAAAAGTTTATAGTAGAGTCTGCCCAGCTGGCACCATCTCAGGGTGAAAATTTTACAGTCAAAGTCTTACTTGATGTAACAGTGAAATTCTCATAAGCCTTGATAGCCGCCCACTACAAAAACTTTGTACACGTTTTATATATTATTGCCATATATATATTCACTCCATGTTCAGCCTATTCAATGAAAAAATAAGTTTTGGGAACAAGGGAACAAGATTTTTATTTTAATCTACTAACAGTCCCCCACCTGCCCCAAATACAGGCCTTTCCAATGGCTGCCCACTATAATATCCCCCTTCCTAGTTCCATTTCCTTCCTTTCCCATCTTCCTCTCTCAGATCTTGCAAGTGTGTGATGGGGCAGGCAGTGAAATGTGCTGAGGTCTGTGCAGACCGGCCAGCAAATGCACACAGGGGGTTGTTTGGCCCCCTGGGTTTTGTCTTTTGAAATAAGTAGGGAGTCAAAAATAAAATAAGAAATTTGCACTCAATATTTATTTTGATAAACAATTGTGTACTCCAAACAACTACATGTTATTTCATTTGTAAGCCACAATCTGTTGGAACCAATGTCCCAAGAGCTCTTGTCATCATAAACCCGACAGTCAATGCATTACCACGGTCTGCGGACACAGAGAGCTTCCAAGTGCAAAGCAGATTATCAGAAAAGACATATTGCTGACCTCCTTAACAACCTGGACAATGCTCAACTCCAGTAAAAATGCTTCATATGTCTGCAATTTAGTTGTCTTAGTGCCATTGTAATAAATTAATAGAAAATATATCTTTTTTCATTGGAAAGTCTATAAGAAAATGTACAAACATCTAACTCCGAAAAAGGACCAGCTGTTTCGGCGACAGGTAAAACAAGCATTCAAACAGAGGCAAAAAAACCCCCCAAACATCCAAACAAACAAAGAGACAAACAAACAAAATGCAATCAAAAACCCCCACTCTACCAATGGCAACTGCATAGGCAAACACGGAAACATCTGCAGTAATAAAACATTAAAAGAGGGTCACTGCAGCTTGTGCAGTGACTGTACAGGATGAACAAGGAACAAGCAGTCAGGTAATTCACTAGTCAGAATGTGCACGTGCAGTTTCTAGAACAGTCAAAGATTAAACAGTAATCGTATGGCACAAAGCTCTTGCTGACTGGTGATGGTATCAGGCTTCATTCTGTCTTCAGAGCAACACACTGACTCCACCCATGAAGGTCAACGGGAGCCCTTTGCATTTCACTGGCATGGCTGTCCCGGTACACAATGCTCTGCTATCCCTCGGGATTACAGACTGCAGTGATTCCCTACTCCATATTCACAGCGTGAGACCCACCCGAGCTCCAAAACAGGCCCCATGTGACAAGCTCTGCATGATAGAACAAGCTACTTAAAAGTTTTCTTCTCTTAATAAGAGGAGATTTTTAGGAAAGAAAAAAAGTTTTTTTCCTAGAGCCAAGTCTTATGATTTCACCCTGAGAATTCCCAAAACAGTAAAATCAGAACCTACACTTCAGCATAAAGGCAGCTGCTCGTAGAAGCTGAACAAACCTGTCAGGGGATAGACCCACCTGGTGTGATCCTCCTGGCCATGTATACACTTACAGGGAGCCGGAGAGGGGAAATGGTTGTGGCCAGTGAAGCACCACAGAGGGCAACCCCTGCCCTGGGGGTCGTACAAAGCCAGATCCCTCTCCAGGCATATTCCAAGCCCAGTTTTCCTGCCCACCATCTGTTAAGTGCTCAGAAATACTCCTGCTTTGGTCCATCTCTTGAAAGCAAGTGTATTCCACCAACACTGGTGCAATGGCATCAATGCAATTTGCTCAGGGCAGTGAAAAGGTTTAGATAACCCAGACTGATGGACTCAAGGGACTTCTTGTCAGTTTGTTCCCTTGACTTCATGGATATGGCTCCATTTTGGCCATCTGAGAACATCAGATAAACAATGTTTGTGTGATCATGGTTGAACCACCAGTGAGACTGACTCTTTCATGTTTGGAATAGTTTGTTAAGTCCGCAAACCATCATAAGAATTTGGGGAAAAAACCAATCCACCTTACTTGCCTTTTACAAGTGTTGGCCATTCGTTCTGGAAACAGCACAAATGCCTGAAGAACATTTGTTAACAGACTCTTGTTGGGAAGCAGGGAGGGAACACTTGGCTCTTCCTTCTTCTTTCTTTTTTTTTCCCAAATACAATACACATGACATTCCATGAATTCGAAACAATTATATAATAAGACTGAAAAGAACATTTCCAGTTTCAAAACCCAGGAGAGGTTTGAGAGGAATGTAACTTACAGGATTACCTAAATTTTACTCATGGTTGCTTTGACTTTCAGAGTGACTGATCTAAACCAGGCTTATAGAGTACAGCACCTGCCCAGCCTTTGGAATGACACACAAAATCCTTGCTTTTCAGTCTCGCTGCAAGGTAGCATTTGGGGACTGTGGGGAAAAAGCAATTTAATTACATAAATTTTACTTAAGACAGCAAAATGAAGTAGCCATCAGCAACTATAATAATTTATGTGGCAATGGGGACAGGTAGGGATAAAGTGGGGAAACAAACCCAAATATTATTGGCAAAATTGTCATTCTATGCACTTTAAAAGGCTCATCAACCTGTCTTTTACACTTCCCCCCTGCCCTCAGATTTCTTAGAACAGCCACAGCCTCCAGAGACGCCTTCATGGCATTTCTGAGCAACACACACAAATATTATTAAACACTTGAAGTGCTTTCAGTGTTTTACAAGGTAGTGTTTACTTTCCCAGCTTCAAGAGATGCCCCTGTAGAGTCCTGATTCACACTAATCTGCCTTCATTACCCAGGTATTGTTTCAAGCAGGGGGACAGGAGGTACGAGACATCCAACTAGTGCATGGGGATTCCCACTTTAATTCTTCAGCTGCCTGGTGAGACCTCTGTCACCTTTCATGCAGGTCTCATGTAACTCTTCCAGGAGGACCAAGACAATAATATCCTTAAGCCTGAGGACAGGATTAGAAAGCAACACACAGCAGAGCAGTCTGATCCTGTTCCCTCTGATGTCCTGGGAAAGGCGAGGACATTATTTGATGTCGAATAAGGTAAGTCTCAGTATTCCTAGTTAAAAACTGGAAGCCCTGAAAGGGATGACTTTAACTGGCAACCATAAACCCTCCAGACTGATCCTGAACACTATTAAACAGAGGGGAAAGATTGTATGGGAAAGGCTGAGAAAATACATGTGCTAATTGGCATTGCTCTCCTTCTAGCAGAAATATGTGGTTTCATCAGTCTCCACTGGCATGTTTTGTCTGCTCCTTTTCTCATCTCTTCCCCAACTATGTGCCTTGGGTTGCATGTACAAAACACAACCCAAAGAGCTTGATCAAACCTCACAGAAGCTTTAGGATAAATGCCTACTGTCCAGTCACATTTCCCAGCATCTAAGCAATCGTTCAAATATATACTCTTTCTGCCTCAGATTGTCAACCAGCCTTTGAACTGACATTCCACGTGTATGTGAGCAGCTGGTTACACTGTGGAAAAAAAAAAGCGTTTGGACAACTCAGAGGCTGGTAAAAGCAACAATCCTCGATGGCCTTTAGACCTAGATCTCTCCCTTGGAGAGGCAGCACGTAGGTTAGTCACAGGGGCGCTGATAAAACCAGCGCCTGGTAAGAACAGGTCAAACCTCGCTTAGTAACGCGAGGGTCGACGCAGCATCGGTGTGCGAGCCCAGCCGGGTGGGGCTGGCGATCACAGGACACACGCTGGTCACAGAGGAAGGCTTTTCTGTCACATGTGGCCACTCTAGCTACTTACAGTAAGAGTTCTTTTTGAACAGCAACAACAACAACAAAATGCTACACCTGGTGTGCAGGCTGGCGAGGCGCCTGCGGCGAGCGGTCAGTAGTCCGTCCCATGGGGCAGTGCTGGCAGCCAGGAGGCACAGCAGGGTGTCCTCACAACTTCATTTTCTTCACCACAGGGATTGGCAGTGCTTGGTAGATTTTAGCTGAGTCCTCGTTAGTGACCAGCTTCACCCAGACAGGGAGGAAGCTGCCTTTGAAGCCAACAAAAGCCATTTTTTCTGCAAATCAGAGCAAATATATCAGGAGTGCATCAAGGCTGAGCCAGAAAAGCACCTGTGTGCACAGCTATGCCCCCATGGCTGGATGGGTGCAGGTTCATAAGAGTACCCTCATGCACACAAACTTTGGCAACATGCATTCTCCAGGTACTAAAGAAATATTTTCCTAATTTAGCCTAATTAAAATTTTATTTACATTTTGTATGCTTGCGTTAAATAACAGGAGAAAGTGAGAAGAAAAACCTTTGTAGCAGGCAGCTTCAGCTGTCTGTTGAAGCTCTTATTATTTGCATGGTGGTTATATTCAAACTCCTTTCCTGCTTGGGGAAGGCAGGGGAATGATCATAGAATCCTAGAATTGTTTGGTTGGAAGTGACCTTAAAGATCATCTAGTTCAACTCTCCTGCCATGGGCAGGGACACCTTCCACTAGACTAGGCTGAGTCCCATCCAACCCGGCCTTGAACACTTCCAGGAATGGGGCATCCACAACCTCTCTGGCAACCTGTGCCAGGGCCTCACCACCCTCACAGGAAAGAATTTCGGGACGATAGACAAGACCTATATTAGTGAGTATAACATACACACAGCACCAGAAGAAAGCATGCCAAAAGCTCACAGAGCTGATTTGAACAACGTGCATATAGAGCAGTATTCTACTGCAATACATGATGCTCTGAAATCAGTACACTTTGTGCCATAAAGCTGGAATTGTTTCAAGAGAAAATCAGATAAAAATAAGTTCAGACAAGTAAAAAATCCTGGTTTCAGGCACTTAGTGTGGAAAAAGGTCCAATATTCCTATTGTTAAAATGTCTTTTTATTTAAAATTAATCTGGAAAAGCAGACCCCCTAAATTACCTACTTTTAAGAACAACTGCCAGAATCCTTTTTCCATCCACAGTTTTAAACTGAGTGCTGTTATCCAAAGCTGCAGTGGATACAACCTTACAGAATAAATAAATTACTGGTCCCAGGATGTTTGAGCACATGCTGATAGAAACGAGCAAGGCAAAGTTTAGAAGCAGAGAAAAGGTCCCTTTACTGGAACCCTGGGAGGGAAATAGATCAAAAGGGGTTAGAACCGAGTTTTTAAAGAGAAGTTACCTTTTAATCTAAGCCCCTCTTCTGCTCCAAGTTTCTCCAGTACTTTAGTCCATGGTCCTCTTGAAATGTATCTTCCTTTAGATGTCACCAGCACTATGGAGCTGAAGCAAACAAAGACATGGATAAACTGATGAAGAGTCAGAACACATTCTTTGCTTTTTTGCCCTGAGGACTGGTGACTCCTGCCTGTGTGACTCAGACACTCACAAACTACAGTGGCTTCAGCTTTAATGGCTTTTATCAGTGCTTTCCAACAGTTTAGTCATATATTATTTTTCCAGTCAGGCAAAACCCATTAGAAAGCAGACAGAAGTCACTTTTTTTAAAAAACAACACTGTTTTCTAGGATGGTTCCAATGTTTCCAACCTGTAGTTCCATCCTGCATTGCTCAGAAAGACACATGCTCTCCCTGGGATGCTCTTAGCAAGTTTCAAGTAATTTCTTGTTCTTTCATTAGCAGATTAAACCAGAAGAAATTCACTTCTCTGAGACTTTTGTTGGCTGATGCTTTTCCTTTCAGTGCACTTCTGCTTAAAAAGTGCATTATTATTATTATTATTATTACCATCACTATCACTGACTTACTTGGATGTGCTCTATTTCAACTCAAAATCCTTCGGGTGCTCTACAAATGCCAAGTGATAAACAAAAGACATGAGGTAAGTGTGCTGAACTAACACAAATCTGTGGTTGCTTGGGTAAAATTTGATAACTGGTTAGGCTTAATTCTAGATGGATAGAATAAAAACTCAAATCAAACATGAAGAAATATCAGGTAGTCAGACTTTTCTGGGGAGAAGCACAGGATGCTTGGTGAAGTTAAGCTCATTACAAGACCCACAGACACCTCCAATGGTCATCTCAAAGCCGACTGAGGAAGAGGTTTCTCCATCCAGTGAGTTCCTTGGAAGTTTTGCTATTATGTTTTGTGGGGCTGAGATGTTGTCTTTGTTCACCTCCTGATTAAAGCTGCATGACATGAATTGAGCAAACACTTGCTTAGATGAAATTATTTCATTCCACCTTGCGGGGTTTCCATGAGTGTAACTTCCCTGACTCAAATGGCATTTTCAGTCTTGCAGAACGAGAGCTGTGCTGGGTCTGTTTTACAGCATCATCGTGGACACAAGTCACTAAAATTAATTAGGCAGCAGCTCCTGTGGAGCTCAAGCCATGAGCTCCTGAGGGCAGCAGTTTTATCTTAACACCTCAGCTGGAACTGGAACTGTTCAGGGGAAAATAGCAATGGGTGGTAGCAGAGGAGCAAGAGGAGCAAAAGAGTTATCAGGACCTAGAATAAATGTAAGGTATTAAAATGCTCCAGTGCTTACAAGGCTGGATTGAGCTGGCAGGCTGGTTTTGACAACTTTGTGAATGCTGAATCACCTCTTTTTTCTTCCTTCAATTCACTAACATCATTACTTTTTGTTAAGCATTTCCTGCTACATAAGTTTAAAGTAAATTCACCAGATGTTTTGTTTTCTTATCCCTGGGAAACTCATCAGAAAAATGAATTATTTTTAAAAAAAGGCATTTGGCCCGCAGAGAGTTGCTTAAATGAATGGAAGGGCTTATCCTTGCTAGGAACACCTCACACCCCTAAATCCATGAACCTTGGAGTTGTTTGAGCAATCTCCTCAAGAGCAATGGGCAAGGCTGGTGTGGCCCCGACCCCTCCAAAGGCACTGTCTCTTTGTGCAGCCCCTGCCCTGCCCCACAGCGGGGAGGGGGGACCAGGAGCTGCCCCTGCACGGCCCCATTGCCTGCACAGTTCCCACAGCTCAATCTGAGCAACAAACACTGTCATCCAGCTGAGGGATGGGAGGGGTTCCATGGCCACAGCTGAAACCTGTGCCTGACCGAATCGGGAAGGCCTGCAGGAGTTGGGCTGGGAAAACTTTTGTGAAAGGACAATGATTTTGGGGTTCAATTCTTGCAAACACATAGCTGAGTGAGACCTGAGAGATGCTGACTGCTCAACTTCCGGTCCTAATCCTAATCCTAAACCTAATCCTAATCCTATTCCAACACTAATCTGGTTTTGAGAAGACAATGAGGCTCATAAATACATCTAAAGTCTAATATGATTCAATCTTCCAAAGTAAGAAAGAATCCAGGAGCTGGATGCAGCCAGGATTGAGACTGGATTTTTTTGTAAAGCACGATGACAGCCTCTCTGAAAAGAGAAAATTCTTATTTTTTTATGAAAGAAAAGTGAGCAGCTACCATGTTTCTCTGAAGTAACTACTGTATGTGACTTTTGCAACTTCCAGAATTATTTAAGACAACAGAAATACATCTGATTCCACCTGCATGGCACTCCGCTGAAACTTCCCCCAAGTCTCTAGAGTAAGTGCCAGAACAATATCTTGTCAATCTGCCCACGACTATTTCAGATGATTCATCAAGAAAGCACTCACATTTGTAATAAATGTTACATATCAGATTTCAAATCCAAACAGATTTAATAACAATGAAATAGAATTTACTTCCCAGGAGCACTCCACAAGCTAATATGGGAATAACCCCTTTGGTTAACAGGTTTCTGATGTTGTCCCAACTCTCCTTCCAGCAGATGAAGCTGCTGTTCTCCAGGATGCAGGAACATGTGTTGGCTACTTATCACTCATTTGCAAAACTGCATTTCTAGCTGCCCATACTTAAAGTATTAAAGCACCCAGCCCCTAGGTCTGGACAGGGAAATGTACAAAGGGGAATGTATTTTATTAGTGGAATTTTCTGCTATTTGAGAGAACATGCAGGAAGCAGAAAAATCCAAACTGTGCACATCTGCACTGACCAGTGCTTTGTGAATTTAAGTCTGCAGTTTATCTGTAACCCACAACATAAATGTAGCTCTGCAGTTTATCTGGGGCTCAATCAGTCCCTAAATCACAGAGCCTGCATCCTGCTGCTGCCTGCACACCCTGCACACATTTGGGCTCTATTGGAGTCATCAGGCACAAAAACACATTGCTGGGTGTCTGGCCCATGTTGGGTGACAAAATCCAGGAAAAAGATGAGTGTTATACACCATTCTTGTACGTTGCACCTTAGTGACGCCAGATTATTTACTCACTGATCTTTGATGTTGTTGACATAATTTTCTATCTGTGCTGGGATTCCTTGTAGAATGGAGTTTTTGAATGTTACCCGATCAACAACTTTTCCATGATGTCCATCAATCACAACCAGTTGGATGCCTTCATCAGTGAGGAAAAACCTGACACCGTCAACCTGTGCAGGGGGAAAAGTACTCTTGATCTATCATAGTAACACAATTGCAAACAATTATCTGTAAGAAGCACTGATAGACCTGAGTCATGGGACTGACCTTTCTATCAAAGGGCAGAATTCCAAGTCTCTGAGGTCAAGCTGTCCTGCATTTTTACTAGTAGGGAAAGTTACAGCCTTTTTTCCTTTTTTTCTTTTTCAAAATACAAATCAGAAGTGACCTGAATCTGACTACTCATGGTGACTTTGTAAGCAAGTTTTCCATAACGATGAAGCAAGTATCTAAGAAATTCATCCCATTAAGTTCATTGAGAGGATCTGCTCACCTCAATGTATGCAAAGTCATCCTTTAGGTGGAAATACTGTTTCTTATAAGTTTCTATTTTCACTTCTGTTAGGTGGTCCTTGGTCTTCTGTTTGGAAAAAAAAAAAAAAGACAAACAAGAAAAGAGTTTTTCTAGTGAAAGTGCCCATTATCTGAATGCTGCATTTTCCAAAAACATTTTAAACCTTGAAATTCAATCAACAGGAAAGCTACATAATAAGCACTGACTTGCCAAATTACATTGCTAATGAAACTGGGCACAATGGTAACCTGCCCGCTCATCCTGTCACCATTTAAATTGTTTCACCAAATGGCAGAGTGATTCTCACTTTACAGAACTGACACATAATTCTCTGAAGGTTTGCTGTGCATTCCTGTTCCAAGGGTGATGAGTGAAAAAAACCAAATAGCAGATAAATATCCTGCCTCCCTCCCCCAGAACTAGACTGGATACAGGAGACAGTGTTGTGCATTATATGAATGAGACACTCAGCTATGCAGTCCCCTCTCTGACACTGTTGTTCTTACAGCCTGGAGGAACTGAGGGCCAGGCAAGGAACCTCCAGAGCCACATTCCCTGGACTAACCTGTCTTCCAGCTCATCACTTTTCACTCTGTGCTTTTAAGCACAGCACATCACGTCAGAGCCCCAAAAGGCCAAGCATCCAACTTCAACCCAAGTCTTGTGTGGCTCTGCCCTTTGAGGACCTGTGCTCTCTTCATGTGCAAGAATCTGTTTCCTATTATTTCCTATGCCTGAACCATTTCAGAAAATCAGGCACAGGATATTCTGAACCAGGCATAAAGCTTTTCTATGTCTGTGCACACAATATGTGCCACAACTACAGATTTACATGAGCAGTGGTCCTGTGATAAGAAATCAACTGCTTTACCAGTTGTGCACTGGAGAGCTTCTTTGGCATTGGCACTTCCACTATTGGTGTCTCGATGTACTTGGGATAGGCCATGGCTTCACAGTCACTGACACCAGCTGTCTCTGGTATCACAGCTTTGATCCTTATTCGTTCACAGCCCTTTACAGAGCAGAAAGCAAACTTCTCTTTCTCATTTTGAGCTTTGAGTTTCAGAAACAGCAGCCTGCAGGCAGGAGAAAAAAAGCAAACAGCATCCTTCAAACTCTTGTGAAAAAAAAACCACTCCCAGTTTTGGTGGACTCCTTCCTGCGCTTTGCAGTGATGTGCATTGAAATCCTTGACACTGATGTCTGCATTTTATAGTGTCCAACACACCACATGCAAATAAAAGGGGACACAAGTCTCAGAGATGGTTTAGAGAGCTCAGGTAACTTAAAACAGAGAATTAAGATGGCACCTAAACTCCCTTTGAACTCTATTCTGTAATTATATACATATATGTAGAAATAGATGTTTTGTATTTTAGGTCTTTCTTTCCCATTATTTTAATCCTTTAAAAGAATATAACAGACATTTACACTCAGTTCCTGTGCGCCCCTGTCACAATGTTTACAAATGGTTCAAAACAAGAGTTGTGTGTGTCTTAAGTTTCATGGTCTGCACTTTGCTTTTGTCTTTGATTTTTTTTTCTTTCTAATTTGTATTCACTTGGCAAAGCACTTCCCAGAGTAACTGGCAGTGCAGCAGAGGCTGTGAAGGACTGGCTGCCATGGAAGTCCCAGGAAAATTAATCACTGGTCACATTCCCAGAAAACCTTCCTGGTTTTGTTGTGATCCTCACTAGTGGCATTAGCCAAGTGGCTCACGATTCCAGCAGCATTCCCAAAGCAGTGTCCAAATCAGCAAGGTCTGCTTCCTTACCCAGTGTGCTCATCCCAGTAGTAGTATCCTTTGGTAGGGTATCTGTGCTCCAGTTTCTCCATTTGAGAGGTTCTGTAGAAGGTTCCAGTTTTGTATGTTTTCTTCAAGAGACGGTTGTGGATGTCTGAGAGAATGGAAAATGTCGTCCCTTTAGGATAGCAAAGCCCTACTTGGATCCAGTCGTTCCTAAAAATAGCAAAGACCCACATTGTAACAAGTCAACTATTATTTTACTGGACGTGCTAGAAGCCAAACTAAATAATCCACTATGAAAAATGTAAGTTAATTTTTTCCTGGACAGTTAAAATTTTCATGGTTTGGGATGAATCAATGCAACGTAAATTAGACATAACAACCATGGGTTAGTTAAGCAACGTAGGTCAGATCTGCTCCTGACTTCTACACCTGTGACTTCCACACACCAGGAATGAATTAGCTCTAAACTTCCAAAAATGAACCATGTTATCTTGCAGGGCTTCCCAGGGGAGGAAACAGGAATCTGAGATGTCTAATGAAAAGATGGTGAACTGAATGGACTTCCTGGAACAAGCATGATCGTTCTGGAAGAGCTCATGAGGTGATGACCTCACTCATTAAAAATGTGTGGTTTACATTATTGGGCTGGAATGTTGGAATTTGGATCACTCACTTGTTGAAGTTGATGAGCCATATGGCCAGCTCTTCAGGGGCTGTCTTGTCCCAGTGGATGGTGTAGCCTTTCCTCAGAGTTATAACTGGCTGATACTGCTGGTAATGAGTGCTTTTGCTTAAAGCCCCTTCCAAGTAGAGTGGGTGATTGTGGTAGTCATTTTTTATTATTTTCATTTTCAGATTGGCTGGCTTGTAGGCTTGGATGTATATCTAGGTGAAAAAAAAAAAGGATCACAAAGGGTTTAATGAACTACAGTAAAACATTAAAGGCCCAGATACTCAATAGATGTGAGCTGGTGTGAGCCCCGTGACCGCAGAAGAGACCTGCATGCCTTTCATTTATCATTAATTTCTTAGGCTTCCTTTTCAACAAAACAAACCAAAAAAAGAAGGCTCATTTCCTCATCCTCAGAGTTCAAGTGCATGTGCCAGAGAAGGCTTCAGACAGGCTGCAGCAGGGCTGAGGTGTTCCACAGTGTTAATGGCAGCGCTCAGCAGCAGGGCAGTATCTAACTCAGACATCTGACTTCTGCTGAACAAGGATCCTTCTGTCTGGATTTCAGAAGCATGAAACCCAGCTCAGTGGTTAGAAATTGGCTGTAGTGACATTACACTGAAAAAAACCAACAGTTGCAACACCCAAGATAAAACCAGGCACTCTCAGCACAGGAAAGTGAGGACTCTCGTGGCAGCAGCACTCAGAGCTCCTGTGGTGGGAAGAATGGTTTGGTGGTCACACACAGGATGAAAGAAAATGAGAGCTGAAGTCTAATTTCGATTGCTCAGCACATTTCCCATAACACTGTGGGCAATGCTTCCCTCCATAAATCAAGCAAAAATAACTAGCCAACAGCCCATGGATTTATGAATATTAATGTGTTAATGCCCATGGAGCTCTCAGGAGACTTCAAGCAGAAGTTGTTGGAGCTGTCAAAGCCAAGGCCAAAGTATTTGAAAATGTACCACAATATTCCTCATGTTCAAAACCACCTGTGCAGACATGCTGATAAATACACACTGAGCACCCTGAGGAAAGTCCATTTCTAAAGGTCAAGTTTTATAGAGCCAAGGAATTTAAAATAAAATAGAGTGATAATGATATTGCAAAGTAAGCAGCTTTACCTGTGCAAAGTGTCCACTGCAGATGGAACCTCTCCAATCGGGCACGTCGATGCAGTCAGGGTGCTTGATTAACCAGTTATCTTCTTTGATCAGGTATGAGCCTGGATATTCTGACACAGAACCATCTATGTCATGAAAAACTGATGTTTTATCACCATCCATATCCAGATCATTGAACCAGGGGCCAGGTTCTCCAAAGAAGACTCTTGAGGTAATCTAAACAAAACAGTGAAACACATTTTACATCTCCAGAAAGGAATTCATCACTTAGAGTACAAAGCAAAGGATGCCTAGGGTCACTACAATGCCTCAAATTACCCACTTTCTGACTTTATTTGGCATTGAAAGTAGTTTGGACAAGAAATAGTTTTGGGTTTGTGGGTCAACTTCTGCTTGAAGAAATCTATATGCACTAACATCACCATTCTTTAAATGGCCACAGATTTTGGCTGCTCAGCTTGAGACATCGTAGGCTTAATGTTCAATGGTTCTGAGGCCCCATGACTCAGGTGAAGACTGCAGGTCCTCTGAGATCATCAAGCTGTAGCTGATGTGGTAATAAAACTTATGCAGTAATAAAACTGTGTGCTCTTGAAACCAATCACCCAAAGATGGGAGCACCAAAGTCATTTTCAGCTGAGCTGGCCTTATAAAAGGCAGGAACATCACCGCCATTTGGTACAGGCACATTAGGGTTGGCTCTGCCTGCACACTCCCTCTTCATTAAGCCTGAAGTCAGCACAGAGCTGGGTCACACACTTAAAAGGTGTGTTTGGTTTATCAGGCAGAGCAGACACACATTTCCCTGCTGACCACAGGGGAAAGGCTAAAACAACTTGAATTTTAGCCTCAGTAGTGGGAAATTTGTTTTAAAATTCTGGAGGAAGGTTCAAGAGATGAGGCAATTTTACTACAGTCACTTCACTCATTGTTTGCTAATATAGTTTTAAGGTTCCAAAGCCATATGAAGTCATACTGATGTGGGGAACAGTCAGCAACCTCCCCTGGGAAATGGCTGCTGAGGCAACTTCTGACTGATATTTTTATCCAGCATAAATAAATGTCATGTCACCAGTCTGCCCCATGCAATGTGAGAGCATGACTGACCAACACTTTTAGGAGAATTTTGCCTTTCCCATCACATTTGGCACTAGTCAGCACTTTTCCTGACCTGTGAGTGAGTCTGCTAATTTTTTGAAAATTAAGCAACCCAAATAATTTCAGTCCAACCACTTTATTTATTTATTTGTTTGCAATGTTTGGCAGTTGGATTTAACAGCTGCTAGAGGTGAACTTCAGCAAACCAATTAGAATGTATTTGTGCAGGCAAATATAAAAATAACTCAAAAGCACAGGCCCCAGCACGGGTTCAGACCAGCACCCAGAAGTTCACCCTGTAATTCAAAGTTTGGCAAATCCTTTTTGGCTGGGCTTTGCTCTCATTTATGTCTGGAGGGGGCTGGAGTCCATGGAATTACCCCGGTGTGCAGGACTGTAGAATTACCCTGCAGCAGCTCAGTTTCACTGGCTGTTCCCCAAAATCAGTATTTTCTGCTCCTAGGTCAGTTAGACTTTTCACAAAACAGACTTCCTTCTGTTGTTGCTTTAATATTATACTGCTGTTGAAAAAAAGGGGGCAGATCCTTCTGCCTTTTTCAGTTTCTGAGACAAACAGAAATGGAAATAATTTTCATTTCAATGTCACTAATTTTATTTTTTTTTTTTTGGAGCTGATGCCTGCTTCTGGTTTGCTGCAAACCTGCCAGAGAATTGGATTTTCTTGTTACTGTACCCATCCAATTTTCTTTCTCTTAGCTGCCTCGTTGTTAAACTTCTGGCAAAGACAATCAGCAACCCCTTGACGATCTCATGTTTTCTCCTTTTTTGCCCACAACCCCATTTCCAAACCAAAGAGGCTTTTCTGAGAAGAATAACTCACAGGGACATCTTCAAAGTGGATGTCGGTGACGTTGTTGTTGGGGCAGCTCTGCCAGGCGTTGTTGAGCCGGAAGGCCAAGGCGCTCGTGTGCCGACCATCCAGGGCCGCGAACTTGCGGAAGGTGCAGTTCTGGACGTTGATGGGTCCATCGTAGAACTGAATCCCTCGAATTGGAAAATCCCTAAAATACATTTAGAGGAGACAGAGAGACTTGGTCATGACACATTAGCATCAGGATGAGCTGTATGCTGGATATGAACAGTCCCACAGCACTTGTTTCTCAGCTGCTTTCATTTTTCACGGCCCACAGGATGACTCTTGAGTTCAAGTTTTGGAAGAGAAGGGATTTCCCTCCTTTTCAGGTCTGTGAAGTCCTTTTATCCCTGCAAGTTCAGCTCAAGTTCCTCCGTGTTGAACAGATCATCTTTATTTAGTCTGTGCTCCTCCAGGGAATGAACTTATACCAATGCCAAAGCATTGACCTAAAGATGAATAAATTCGTGTTTGCCGTCAGAAATGAGTTCTGCAGCAGTGAAACCTGAAACTCAACAGAGCTATGCAGACTCCTTGGGCTGAGTAATGGCTGGGCTAAAAGAAGTCCCACCACATCTTTCAAAGTAACCTGGAGAGAAACATTGAAAATCAACTGCAATAAAAAAAAGGATTTGAAAACTAGGAAAGGTCCTACAATCTGTAGGTGAAGGGGTAGATTAATGAACCTTTAACAGCCTTTTCTGATATCATCTGCAAGGTAAAGAAGACATCATTTTTCACACAGATTAAGTGAATGAGTTGCTTAAGCTCTTTAAGAGGCTGAGATGTTTCAAATTTCGTTTCTGACAAATAAATTTGATGCCTTCCTCATATGAATGGTTTCCCTTAGAGAAGACTTGCCTGCTCCAGTGCATTTGTTCTGTCTCTCTGACTTTCTGCACACAACACCCAAAATGAGATATGCCCACATATATATGCATAAAGGATATTGGGAGAGTCATAGAAGATTGGGTTTTCATTATTGCTAGAGTTAATAATAAGCCTTCTGTATTGCTACTGACAGCAAAGTTGAGGCCCATAACAGCTAAGCTATTTGTTCATTGTGAGGTTACTGTTAGGATAGCCATATTTTTAGGAATCACAGCAAAACAAGAGGCCACACACAAAGTTTACTGCCCATCTCAAAAGTGTTTAACAAAGGCATCAAATTCCTTTGCAGCAGCAACAGTAACAGTAGTGCTGAGGACATCCATGACCACATTTGGGCTCCTAGGAGCCTTCCTGGCAGCTGCCCCGGATGGAGACTGTCACATTGCTCAGCCACTGCTGGCCACATGTACAGAAATGCCCTGCTAGCACACAGTCCTGTTGCTGTCCTCTCAACTCCACTTCCAAAGTGGAGGGGGAAGGGAAGAGGAGCTTGATGCTGTCTTGGCAGCCTGCAAGGATGTACCTGCCAGCAGCAGCTGCACAGTGAGGACTCTGGGATCGGGAGACGTGAAATCAAATCCTTTCTGTGCAATGGTTATTAAACTGAACAGCACTGAAGAAACCACATTGGGCTGGAGCTCATACTGGGAGCAGGAACAGTGAGTGCTTTGATGTGCTGAGCTCAACTTACTGGCTAATGGGCAGGGTCCTTCCTCTGTGATCCAGACCTCCAGGTCCCCAGATCTCATTGTCCATTGTCTCAGTGCCCAGGTTTCCACTCTCACCAACAAACAGGCTGTTCTTGATCTCTTGCTTTGAGCCATCATCATGAGGGAAGGTCCCACCACTAAAAGGGAAGGACTGGAGGTGAAAGAGCTGCTCATACCCAGCCCCACCCCCTGTGCCCCAAGCTGCCACACAACCTGAGCCACACTTACCTCGCCAAGGTCAGTCCAATGCCATTGTCAGCAAACCTGCAAAGAGGACAGAGATTCTTCAGAAGAGATTTGGTTTTGCTTTGGTTTGTCATCACTATAACAAGCAAACCAAAGAGGTGGAGGACAGCAGGCATTAATTACTATACAGTGCTTAGGCAGAACTCAGATTTTCCAGGTTTGTCCCCTGTCCAGTTTCGGAATATCTCTTTTGGCACATCTTGCAGTATATGCAGATCACATGAAGCAGCAGACATGCACCTGACTACTCCAAGCTGAGCTTCAGACAGTGATTACTAGGCATAGTTTACTTGTCTGATAACGCTTTATCCCTTTGTCTAATGACCACACTCTTTTCACTGTTAGATAAAAAAATCATGCTTAACTTCCATTCCAACTAGCATTTATTATTTAGTAGTGCTTTGCCTTATGCTCACTTCTGTGCTCCTCTGTCTTCATGTTATCACATACTCCTTCCATGAAAGAGCTTTGCAAGGGGAACTGTGATAAAAAGAGAGAAGCTTGGCTTCTCTTTCATCAACAGGAAAACAGAGATCAGAGCTTCCTTATTAAAAATAAAAACAAAAATTAGAATAACTTTCTATTTTGCTGAAATTTCAAGCTTTCAGATGAGATAAATCGCAACTCCTGGTCCACGACTACTTCTTACAGAAAGGCTACAATGAATTGATAGAGTGAGTCAGTCTTGATGGTGTCTTCACACCAGTGTCACTCTTCACAAGTTTATCCCCGATCTCGGCAGAGCCCAGCGCCGTGCTGCTGTCTGTAGGTGGCAGCCCTTCCCACCCTATCGCCTCCTCGCTTTCCTGCGTGCCACATGAATGTTTGCGTTGTTAATGCGATACATAAGTCTTTCTGTAGCAATAGAAATGGAAATGACTGTGGCTATAAAGACAATTGCAGTTTGATGGCTGCTTCCTCCCATTCGCATACAGTCAGAGATTTGCTGCTGGAAGCTCATAAAGCCTTGCTCTTTTAGCATTTCCTCCATAAGAAACATGAATGTCCCAGTGACCTGAGTGGGACCTGCGAGGACAACTCCTGCTGGCCACGGAGTGGGCTGGATACTCGTGGGTCATAAGAAACACAAACTGCATTGCTCAATATGACGTTTCTGACTGTTCTGCTACAGCCCCACTCTCACCAAGATGACTGGTTGCTTTAGGAGGTTTGGGTCACTCAAAGATAAGGCAGCTCTGGCCAGGAATTGGACATCAGATATCAGCTATTCCCACCAGGGTTATCACAATATGCCTTGTAAAGGGCCTTCTTCCTTTTTCTCCTCTTTCTTCATTGAGATTGATATCAGGAGCCTGGCTCAGCAGAAGAAACTGCAGCAGATCATCTGTTTTCAAGTGCAAGACAAATATCTGCTCTGAGCAAGGCAGGAAATGGCCTTCAAAGAGCACAACACGCACTTGCCCAGTCTCTCTCCCTTGCTGCTGTGATGCCTAGTTTTATGTCTGCTTTGGCAGTACCTGCTTATTCAGCATAACAGTGAACCACATAAAACTGATCTGTGACCAGGCTGAGTCAGGGAAGGTGGTGCATTTTGCTGTTTTCTTTTCAAGGCACCTCACTTTTCACGTAAAAAAATTAGTTATTATTTTTAGTTATTTGCACCTGTCTGCCTGCGTGTTTGTATTGTGACCATTTGTGAGCGCTGGTCAACATCACAGAGAGAAACAATCTAAGGGATCTTCAGCTCAGACAGAGCATGTTTTGTTTGTATAAAACAATGTCTGTGGTTTAACATTAACATTTCATCTTTATTTCAGCCTTGGCCGTATGAAAGGTGCAAAGCGATATAAATAGTCTGAACCACAGCTATGCTCGCCATAAACACCAGGCTGAACTCTTAGGAGTTGAAATAAGGCAAAACTCACTGGCAGTTGTCCAGCCACACATCTCCACCTCGCAGCCAGGCCCCGTGATCCTGATTCTTGTAGGCAATAAAGCGCTCGATTATCGCAGGTTCCCTGGGCTTCAAAGGATCAGCATCCTTGTGTGGGCTGTACCTGCAACCAGGAGAGGAGAAAGTTTGGTGAGGGAAGGTAGCCTTGCTCGCTGCACGGCCCTGCTAAACATCTGGTTTGTGGTAACCCAGGAACAGCTTTGGGACAACAGTCCATCCACGTAGCGTGTCTGCTCAAGCAGTGATGGCCAGACCCAGCTGCCAAGGGAAGGAAGGTCCAGGCAAGGCAGTTGTCAAGACCCACTCCAAGTTTCCTTTCACCTTTCCAGTATTGTATTGCTGATATATTGCTGAAAGCATGGAAAGTTTATTATTGCTCCCAAAAGTATGAGATTTTTTTTTAATCCTTTACTGTTATCCTTTAGCATATTCCTGTTATTTAGATAAATATCCTTTTGTTTTCCCTTTTGACCACTCTTATCTCCTAACTTTGGCTATACTGTGGCCTTGAGTACCACTGCCAAGTTTTTCTTGCTGCAGAAAGGAATTAAAACATCTCGGAGAGGGGCCGAGAGTATGTCCTTCACTATTCCCATTACACAGGACACACGTACAAGATTTATTAACTCTGAAGGTCTCCATATGATGAAATACTGGCCTGATGTAGCAAAGAAAAGCAGACAGAAGTGGAAACATGTGGCAACATGTGCCCTCAGTTGCTCCCTGTCAGCCACCACTCAGGCCGCAGGGTCTGAGAAAGGGTCTGGCTCTCTACAGTGATGCTGAGCCCAGCTACCATTTACCCAGTCCTGAGGCACAGCTCTCCTTTTTACTGTTGAAGGAGCATCTCCCATCATACTGCACAGCTTAGAAAACCTGACAGATGAGTATCCAACGCAGTGCCAGCAACGGATGGTCCAGAGATTAAAATTCATTCCTCACCAATGGATAGCGAGGCCAAGCTGTCAAATTGCTAACAGATATTCAATAGCACTTTGCTTTGCTTAATAAGCCATCATATCAATCTAAAACTGAGCATCAGGCTGATAGGGTTCCAGTAAATGAATATTGCTTTGGCAGCTTCATCACTGTGAATTTGCTTTCAGGGAGAGATTTAGTATCAGCCCTTGTGAATTCCCCAGACATTGTTAAATACAGATATTTTGAGATGGATTCAGATTTCATTCACATCTGTGATAACCAGAGGAACGCTACAGGGTACAGAATTTTACTCAGATATTTAATGCTGTAACTGAATGTCGAATAATCTCTCCAACTCTGTAACTGTCCAGCCTAGCTCACAGTTTGCCCCAGCCAGCCCAGCTATAATCATTTATTCAGTTGTTCAGTCTTGACACATGAAAAGTGGAAAATGGAATAATCTGAGCTGCAGCCTATGCCAGTGGGTAATCCCCAAGCATAACCATGACTGTATTATGACTTGTTTGGCTTCCAGGGGTCATTCCTGCCCTTGTATGGCAAGGGAGAAATTGCCTTTTGTAATCACTTACTGTGCCTGTGGCAGCAGGCAGTGTCCCAAGGCACGTGTTCAGCTCTATGGGAAAACAGCATCCCAAGAACAGGCTCCTCTTCATAAGTTATTTTTTAGCAGTTACTTTTACCATTGAATTAATCATTTCAATTAACTGAGCATGAAAATAATGTAAATAACATTCACTTTTGAACATCTTTTAGCATCAGCTGCTAGCCAGGGGTGATGTGGGTCACAGGATAACTGATATCTGAGCTCCTGGCTGGGCTCCCCCGGGGAGGAGGACTGATCCTACCCCTGCAGTGCTTGCCCAGTGCATGAGGACAGTAGTCTGGGTAACCCACACCCCTGAGATGGAAAGGACAAAAGGATAAAGTTGTCATTCTCCCCCTGCTGAGCAGAGGTTTTCAGCAGGTTTCTCTTCCTTACATGGTTTCTTCTGTCAAGAAACCCAGTCGTGGGAGAATGCAGGTTGGGTGCAACTGGAGGTAATTGGTCTGTCAGGAAAGAAAACTATGAAACTTGAGAATATTTAAGTCCTTTTACGTGTCTGGGGGTTGGTAACTAAGTTAAGAGCCAGACTCAACCTCTAATGAGATACAAGGGTGCAGGTGCAGTCCTTACATCAGCCTCCTCACTGGGGCCAGCTTTGCCTGGGAATTCTCAGAAGCAACCAGACCAAAGTAGGTCTGCTGATATGATACAGTCTATAGAGAAATTTCCAGTATTTCTCAATTACTCCATTACACTGCACAGAGGTTGTGCACAGCAGCAGAGATGAAAGATCGTTCTGTGTATTTAATTGTGATTATTATTGCAGTGTCAGATTTGGAACTAGACTGAAATTGGAAATCAAAGCATGAGCTCCATGACATAAGCACTCCCTGTTCAAGTAGGTTTTAAAAGAATGAATAAAATCAATATCATTCCCAGGAAATACTTCAATTTCTAATTGCTAAGAAACTCTTGCAGCAAGTTCTGCCCAGGGGGACTGTTGACCAGGCAGCAGTGCATTTCCTTGCAAAAAATTCAAAAAGTTAGTGGAACACCCTAGAGCACATGTAACATCCATGCCAGCTCAGCTCAGAGCTAAAGAGCAAGGACAAAACCAGAAGGGTGTGGGTGTTGGGGGTCTCTTATAAAGGAAAATATAGAGATGAAGTTAGAAATGTCAAGGTGTGTGTAAGTGAAGACCCTCCCTCAATAAGAGCCACCCCAAAGGCATTGCAGTGATTCTTGTCAGCTTCCTTGGGGGCAATTTCATAGCTTTCAGTCAGTGCTACAGAGAAACCTTTTCCAAACTAAACTGTGTAAAACACTTTACCTCCCAGAAATCATTGTCAGGATAGGTCTTTTGTCCTTGGCAGAGGCTGGAGTGGTTTTAACGCCGTTATCAATGATCATTCCAGCCTAAAGAAAAACAGAAATGCAATATCACAGTATATTTATAAATATTACAGTTCTTTCCATCTCCAGACTCTACCTCCAGTTTTTCTCCTAATAACAGCTTCTGTTAGTAGCATGTGAAGCAGAGGGCTGCCAGGACTACCCAGATTTGCATATATCCCCCAAAATTGCTGCAAACTTCTAGAACTGCACTTTTCTCATAAATGCATGTATCCCCACACACATACACCCTCTGCTGCAGTCTAAAGCCCTCAGCAACACACAGCCCCACAGCCCAGCATGCTAAGGGGTAAATAAGCAGGGAAGGCAATTAGACACAGCGGCCGTATTTATCCCTCTAGAAGCTGTTCAGTTAATTGCTAACATTGGCAGTTGAGGTGTATAATTAGACAAGCTGCCAATAGATGCTCCTGGAGGCACTACTTTAAGAGTGCAGAGGCAGTGAAGCAGCCTGTGCAGAGGGGAGAGCTGCTCTGGATGCCCAAGAGCCAAGTGGGAGTTGCTGCTGGCCAGCTCCGAATGCTCCCACGCCAGCCTGTGAGCTGCTTTATCTGCAGACACAAACAAGCTCGTAGGAACTTTTAGTGAAACAGAAAGCACAGGCACTAATAGCTTGCAGAACCCAAAGAGCTGGAGCGAGGAGACGGTGTTTTTTCCGAGGGCAGCATTCCCGTTGCGTGCAGACTCACCCGGTAGTTGGAATGCGCACGGTTGTTGGAGAATTTCCCCATCGGCACATGTTCTGAGTAGCCAGGGGAGTACATGCCTGCTGAGGGCCCTGTTGGCACGTGGTGCAGAACAAACCAAAAGCCTGTTTCCTGAGGAAGAGAATGGACACCTGAGACTTGGCTGGTCCACATTAGCCCAAGGAGATCTCAGTAAAGCCCAAGACAGGACAAATCACAGCCAGCAGCACTGACCTGTGTAAGTCTCTGCAGCAAAGAGTTTAATGCACACAAACACTGACATTCCCCCTCCCACATCTTCAGGGTGCCAGAAGTTAATCTTTGACATCGATATTGAAGTTCTAAGCGAGACTTTTGAAACTTAAAAATCAAATAATTTTTATTTAGTTGCCTAAAAATGTACAAGGAGCACTAATCTAGGTGCTCAGGTTTGGAAGCTTTGGAAAGACCACATCTTTCTGTATAAGGCTTGGTTTGCTTGTTTATTTGTCTTCATAGGACAACAAGGAATTCCTGTGGAATTAGCACTAGGGCTGATTGAAATTTCTGAGCACCATTACTGTGCTGCAATCAATGGAATCATTGCCAAAGGCTTCTCTGTAACTCTGCAGTCACATTTATTTAATTTATTCAAGCTGCACACTGGGAATTTTGGTTCAACCCACCCAGCTCTAGAAACAGCAAGTGACAAGAAGTGTGGAGCAAAAGGAAAAACATTATTTTTACTGGTAGCACCAGCCACATTACTGTATGTCTCAGTCAAACAGTTTTAAAAATGTCTGTGTTACAGAAGCAAGTTTTATTCCAGCAAGAGCCTCCCTCAGCCTTGCAGGGCTTTAACTGGCCTGAGCTATTACCAAATAAGAAACTTGTGCACTCACCTCAGATCCAGCAGCTGCACAGTTTATAAGGTTGTTGTGTGGGTTTGCTATCCAGAAGGTGGATACAGCACTGCAGGTCAGGAAAACAAAGAATAACATGAGAATGACACTTTGAGCACACACCAGTCACCCATCAACTCCCCCATTACAGGCAGGGCCAATACCCCAGATAAGGGGTCCTTCCCAGAGGGCAAAAGGAATGTTTTTTCTTTCTCTTCTCATTCCTTCTGTCCTCTGTGGTTTGACAGAGAGCATGGTCTTATCTCTTAAAACACCAAGTATTAAATGAGGAATTTTGACTGCAATTCCAAGCCTGCTATGAAGCTGTCAGATGTCAATCATGTTTTATGATAAAGTAAATATTTGTTGCACAAGTCAAAGAAAAGAACTTTGCCCCCAAGTAAACCCTCAGGTTCATTAGAGACTTATTTAATCAAGGGACCCAATGAATTGCCTCTTAATGGCTTTCCAAGTGTACCCCAGTACCTGTCTTTGCCAGGAGTTGCTGTGATTCATTAACTTTATTTGCTCCCACTCTCCTGAACGTTTCTTTTGGAACAGAAGGACTTCATTTGTCTAATGCACATAAAAGACTCTTAATTGAAAGATTCCCATTAAAGAGGAAAGACCAATCCATCACTGTCCATCCTGTGACATACAGCATTCATTAACCAACAGCCATGGAAAACACCCAGCACTTACAGCCAGCAGATTGGCCCCCTAAATTGGATGGGTGAGATCTCCCTCCTGCAGAGGATGAACCTAGGGAACCCTTATGTCTATTTTAATCTTGTCATGAGGGAGTTCACAGGGGCTTCAGGCCAACTGATTCTGCTGATGGAGTTCTGTTTGTGCGACTTTATCATCAAAACACAGCAAATTTTTTCTATTTTGAGCCTATGACTGGCCCAGAAAAAAAACAAGTTTGGATTATTTATAGACTACCTCCTGCTGCGTAGGCAAGGGCAAGGGCAAGGACAGAGTATTTTCACAGTGACCTGTCCTTCAGCCCAATCCTGTTCCTCAGAGCCATATGGATTGGGCAGGTTATCGTGTCATTTGGCACAATCCTATTGTCTTAATTCCTGGAAGTGGCTGCCTGTCTGTGTCTTCCAAGCTGATGGAGCCACAGCCAGTGCTCATCCCACGTCCCTGTGCTGGGTGCCTTGGCCACTGCCCCAGGGATAGTGTTAGTGCACTTGTGCACTTGCAAGCTGGATGAACCCCATACAAAACAAGCTGCTTTTCTCGTCAGACCTTGAATCCTTTTATAAAGGAACACATGTCAGATCAAAGTACCATAATACCTTTCCATTAGAATGCACATATTCATATAACAGTCTTCAAAATGGCACAAAATATATCCCTCTGACTATTAAAAGAATTGTCAGTGGAAAATTAGCACAATGGCTATTAACCCTATTTTATGAATGGAGACATTAAGTGTATTTTATAAACAAACACAGATGTGAAAAAGAGCATTGCATGAATTCATCTCTTTCCTTTGCCAAACTAAAAAGTTAACAATATGTTTGTTTGGACAAAACCCCAGTTTGTTCTGAGGACAGAATGGATGATACTGATACAGCCTCAACAGATTGAGAGTATTTTCAAGTAAAAGAAATCCCCTGAAGAATTGTAGCTGTTAGGCATCAATCAGCTTCTAGCTGTCTCATTTTCAGGATGGAAGTCTGGCTTCACAGCCTTTCTCATTGACTGTTGAAGGGTCAGAAACTTGAGGGTTTTGTTAGTGTAGATCCCTTCCCCCTGCAACTACAGCCGAATAAATTTCTGGAGCAAAATCTGGACTACAGGCAGAAGTGTTCCTGTCTCCCAGCAGCTTCAGCACAGCACCAATGCTCTGTTGTCTCAAGACAAATCTTCATTGTGAAAGACCTCCCATGTTGTTGCACAGGGGTCTTGTCCACAAGATGATCCACCATCAATTTTAAACCCTTTACAGGCAAGTTTGATGTCCAGCTTCTAATGGAAAACACTCTGAAAACAATGTGGTTCCACAGATCTGCTCCAGATCTCTTGCTATGCTCCCTGCACTCCAGCTGGGGATGTGCTTGCCTAGCTGCTAAACACACAGGTTTGACTTTCAGAGCCTAGCCTAGTGCTCTCTTAAGAAGAGTCTGGGGCACAGGGGAAGAAAAAGAAACCTAATTAGCTGCCTGAAATGCATCAAAATGAGCAGGTTCCCTAAACAGCTAGTAATTAGCAATGAAATCATATTCCCAGGTTGACCTTGATTTTGGGGCAGAAAACCCACTGGAAAACTATGGAAAGAAAGGCTAGAGTAGTCTTCAGAGGCTCAGTGAGTCCATACCCTGCCTTTTGACAAGACTAACTACAACCACATTTTTATTTGTGATGGGCATTTCTCTAACCTGTGCTTTAAAATTACTGATAATGAAGAATCCATGAATTCCCCCAAGAAAAAATTCGAGTGCTTAACTCTGTAGTCAGGTTGATTGTGTTTCTTCTGTATCTCACCTGATTTTTCACCTGACACTGCAAGGCCAAAAAACTGCAAAAAGAATTTGCAAAAGCTCTTCTTATTGCAAATGTTTCTATTTGACGGATCCACAAGGACACTTAGAGGAAAGGATCTTGCAAAAAGGGAGATGAAAGACATTTGGCATTTTTCAAGTTTAATAGATTGTTTGTGGCAAATGAAAGTTTCCAGGAGTTCTCATGAAAACATTTTCATGAGCTCATGTACAGAAGAGAGATCCAAGGGATGTACACAGTCTTTGATCTTATATTGTCAAGCTCCAATTCGATGCTAAACTGCATTTATTATATCACTCTGGTTTCACTTCAGAGTTTGGGCAGACTGTGCCAAACGAATGCATAATATCAATGCTGTACCATTAAACAGTATCTATTCTTCACAGATAACAACTTCTGAATCAATGTGAATCTTTCCAAAATCAGCTGCCATTTGGGATGAGTACACAGCCCATTCTGAACTCAGCAACTTTCGGCTGAGCCATTGGGTTCAAGACTCCATAAGACACATGGCATCACTGCTTACTTTGAAAGAAAGGTTTTCAGTATCTGAGGTAGGAACCATCACAGTGGCCTTTATGCAAAAAATGTTAAGTATGCTCTAGGTGTGTAGGTATCTGATTAGTACAAGGATAAAGACCTCAAGGAAACTACTCTCCCAGCTTTGGGACATGCAGCCCAGAGCCCTACAGACGATTACATAATCACATATACAATGCTATCTGCTATGGCTAAGTCCTGCAAAGAGAAGGAAGACGAAAAGGAAGGCTCCCACTCACCTACAGTCCTGCCTGGGTTTGGGGATGTACCCTGGGTAAGCTCCCTCTGTGATCAGCTTGCACATCCTGCTGTCCCTGTCGGAGGGGAGCAGCGTGCTGGGTTTAACAAGGAGTCCAAGGCAGTGATCAAACGTGTTGCGCTCTTCTGGTCCGTCCTCCGTAAAAAAGCAATGGCCCAGTGCATCATAACCCACCACATCCTTCACCTGCATGCACAAAACAAAGGTCAGTGTTTAGGCTTCATGCTTCAGCCACTGTGTAATTAAAACAAACTTTGCAGTGCTGGCACATAGGAGCCCCAGTACCCTTCTGAGCTCAGGATCTATAAGCAAAATTAAAAGGAAGATCACTCTCTGCCCTTAAGAGCTTATAGTCTAAGCAATAACTCCAAAACTTAACTAGAATTTGTCATCACCTAGGAAATGCTCATTCCATTCTTTTGTTGGCCTGTGAAATCAGAGACTTTCTTAGCATGACGCTGAAAAAAACGTGGGGTGGGGGAAGACATTAGATGTTAAAATCACATCTGGGCTCATTCATCTTCATGTGGAATTGCATGAGCAGCTACGCAAAATGCAACTGAAAAATGCAGCTGAGCTGAAAGAATATTTTTTCAGGCTATCAGAGGGGCAGCAAGTTATTTTCCAGACAGGCTGGCTTGTTTTGGGTTTGACCTGATCCTTTTTTCCAAGTTGTTGACAGAAGCTTTACTTGACCCTGAGACAAATCAGCTGGTGTTAATCAGCACTCTTCTGGGTTTGGTTTGCATGTTGTTAACATTGGGACACCATTGGCTGGACAGAACAATACCCATCACACCACGGGAAGGTCTGAGAAAACAATTTCAGGAGCAGATACGTGAATTTGAAGCCCAAGGTTGGGACTGGGTGGGAAACAACAGCCCCTGGATACACAGCAAGTGTGTCCAGCAAGTCAGTTGTTTGTGGATATGTCTGGGATATGGAAAATTAATTTCAGGTCTCCACTGACCAGGTGAAGGTCTGGATCTCCTGGGCTCTTTCCTTGCTGTTCCCATCAGTCATCACCCATCAATCACCCTGGACTCAGGAAACTTTCTACCTGCTTCTGATGAAACAGCAATTGTCAAGGGGCAAAAGACAATATTAAACTAGATGGAAGACCTGTTCATCACAATGTCATTGAGAGACCTGGGTGTTCAAGTGCTTGAATTACTTTTGTAAACAGGTCTCAGACTCCTTTGTCACCTTCATGCCTCGTTCTCAAGGCAAGGAGAACCAATTTCAAATAAAATCCCAGGATTAGTGTTGAAATTATTACAAATATGTTTTCACATAAGAGAAAACACTTTTCCTGCCAAATCTATTACTAGCTTACATCCACACAGTCTTCTATTATGTATCATCCGTGCTCCAGTGTAAATACTCAAATCTCTGAACACGAGTCATCACAGTAAATTAAACACAGCTAAAATGACCTGCAAAGTAGTGCATTCCTTCAAACTACCTCACTGAAATTTACTGCTAACTTCCCATATCTAATAAAATGATAGATTTTGTAAGGTTTAGGCTTCTTTATTAAGGTGTAAAACATATGTACTAAACTGTTCTCACTCGGAAGAATGAACTCTCTTAGCCATGTAATAATAAGGGTTTACAGGACAGAAGAACATTTCAGAAGAGTGAGCAATCTTTTCAGAAGAAGTTTTCCAACATTTACAGAAAGTCTTTTAACTACAGAGATGTCAGAATTCCACAGAGACTGCCACCAAACGCTATTAGCTTTCTTTCACAGAACAGTAATACTGAAAAGACACATAACTAATGGTGTCACCACATTTAGATGACAGAAGCAGTTTCTACAGAGAAAGGTTTGCCCCTTTGGTCATTTATCTTTCCAGGCAGCACAGCACAGCACCAGGTCTGGTCACCTGCAGTGACCAGACTCAGCTGGGGCAAAGCCCACCTATGTGCACTGGGAGTACCATCACAGGGGAACACATCTCCCAGTAGGGTGAGAGAGGGGGGAAGCAGAGAGAGGTGTGTGCACTGGCAGAGGGGCTCAGAGCCACCAAATGCCTGCTGTTCTCCTAACTCATCCCTGGAAGTCCACAGAACAACAGGAGTTATCAGCCAGGGACCTGGTCCCTAAGGCATTTTTCACCCTCTCTTTGATGAATTAATTCCCCGTATCTCACCTCTCGGTCAGCCCTGACTTGGTTTCCTGGGCATGCTTTCATGCACAAGCCCAGTACTGAAACGTTTGGATAGCAAATGAGATGCTTGTTCCAAAATCACTTTTCTAATGTATTTAATTTTTTATTTGATTAAAACCTTGCTAATAGTCCCTAATCTTACATTAACCATGAGTAATTTAGGGCCAGATAATGCCCTTCCATGGCAAAACATTGCTGCGAATTATAGCTGGATTAGTAAAAGCAGATACCACTGAAGCTGTTTGATGGCTCAGACTCTTAATCCATGAATTTCAGCTCTCCCCTGCATCCTGCCAGACTATTTATTGATCCACAATGAATTTCCTTTCCCAGTGGGTGTTTCTATTTTAGCTTCCACACTGGGATCCAGTGGAGAGAGTAGGAATCAGAGCAAAGTTTCATCCCTGGGATTGCAGTGGTGTAACAAGGTGGTTTTTTTGGCCAACATACTAAAGAAAACATTGGGTAATCATTGCATTTTAAAACACTAATTAAGGTGAGAAAATAATTTCTAAAGATTTATTTCCAGAAGGACCCTCTGTGCCTTCCAGATAATATGGATTTGCAGACAAGTGCAGAATAACCCATCAATGAAGTGAGCTAATGTCGAGACAGCAACTTCTAGCAGACTGTACAGACTCACAGAAAAACAGCTGTCATCAGGAATAACTGGATACCCTTTTCTCCTAGACTTTTCAGAATGAGTATCTCTGAAATGCCATGAGAAAAGTAACAGCAAAGCAAGCAGGGAAGCCTGTATGTAAATTACCAACCTGCTTTAATGACAGTTAAAAACAACTGATGTCCCTCTCCCACTTATTAAAGCATTTGGACAGGTACTCTACCACACTCATGCAAGAAACCCCTCCGAGCTCAACAGCTTAATGTGAAGGACATCATTAAGTGCTGTGCTATGCTGAGGTTTAATGGTCCAGTTAGATTTTTTTATGGCTATTTCCAAAGTGTGGTTTGTGCACATCATTAAGGGAAATTTTCCCTCAGCAAAGAATGCTTTGGATCCACCTGATCTCAGAGGGAATGAATGTTACCTAGGGAAAGACAGATCTCATCTCTGTTTGCACAAATGATGTTCTTGCATGTAGAAACAGGTGGTGTTGCCCAAGTAGAAAGACAATAGGCAACTAGGAAATGTATAGAATAACTGTTGTAATCATCAGAGACCATGTGCATGTCAGTGAATATATCTGGGGCAGAAGGAAGAGGAAAGGAAGGAAATGAGTCAGAAAGCAGAGGAGATTGTGGTGGGATCACCTGACAAGTCAAGGCATGGAGCTGCTGATGCAGATGCCTATCTGAGCAACGAAATAACATCTAAGTGATGCAGTGTTTGGAGCACATATTCTGTGACACAACTGGTCAAACTCGATCAGATTGTTTTAGTTCATTGGGGCTTTCCTTTTAGCTGTCAGCAATAATTATGAGGTTAAAATAAAAAAAACAAATAAAGTATTATAAATAGAGTTCAGTATTCACACATTTTGATAAACTAAAATCAATAGGGATTAAATTCTTGACTAACTAATGTCCTAAATTCTAAGATCTGTCTAGGGTGCCTTTTCATGGAGACAAAGGATGGTCATTTAGGGAATTGTGGTTGTTGAATGACAGCAAGAGAATCAAGTTGCTTTCATCAGCTACATCAGCCTGTCTAAATTTCATCATGCCATCTTGGCTGGAAAAGCCTGAGCACATGGATCCGTATGCCGTGGATGCCTCATGGCATAGCTGTCACCCAGAGAAAGCACAAGAGACAAAGTTATTTCCAAATGCTTTATATGAAGCCATCTATCTGACTGATAGGAGAATGCCTGGCTCATGCCTGTGCAGCCACAGGATGTGTTTATGGTGCCACAGGTGACAGCCCACTGTGGTGTGACAAATGAGCCCCTGTAAGACCCCACAGTGCTGCCCTACCACTCTGCACATTAATTGTATACTAAGCCCCTGTACTGGCAGCTTCAGATTGGGCAGATGCCATATGACCCTGAATGACTTATGTAATTTATGCTGTAGAATGTCTTTTTTCTTCAGAAGCCGTGTTCACTTGGTAGGTTTTCAGGATCGTGTTATAAACTTAGAAGGACAGAGGTCAAACCCAAAAACCTCAGATTCATAAATAGCAGATAAAAGCTGCTCTGCTTCTGGAGCTGTAATTTCAATGTCCTTTGTTCAACTTCTGTGCATTTTAATTATGCCTGTGACTCACCCTTCCAGTGCTGCCAGTTTTAGAGGTATGAACTGCTAGTGCACAGTGACCATCCAGGTTACAACTGCCAATGATATGTTTCCACTTAAAACTCTCATATATAGGAGCAGGGCTCTTGATGGTACAAATTCTCCTTTTCAGGGACTTTTTTCCTTTTGGAATACACTGCCATTTCACTGAATGGGTGAGAGTCCTTTGCCTACAGGAGTCCTGCACCATTAAGATTTCCTTCTTGAAGAACATCCAGCCTTCCTGGACTCCTCTACCCTTCAGGAACTGCCTCCCAAGGGATTCTGTCAAACATGCTCCTAAACAGGTCAAAGTCTGCCCTTCAAAAGACCAAGGCAGCCGTTCTGCTGACCCCCCTCCTTACTTCTCCGTGAATAGAAAACTTTATAATTTTGTGATCATTATGCCCAAGAGGGCCTCTAACCATCACATCACCCACAAGTCCTTTTCTGCTCACAAACAAGAGGTCCAACATCCTTACCACAAAAACAAAGGCACCCCTACATTTGGGAAGAATCTGACCGTGTTCTTCATGTCTCTGGTGTGCTGTAACTTGGCTGGTAAACATCAGTTATTTTATAGATTTATCCTGAAGGATTTCTTGTTTTGGAGGGCAACTGGCAAATCAGAGCTCTGTGAGTGCTTGATGTTGTGACTGGCATTGCAAACCCAAACCTTCATTACAGCAAAGATGAGGCACACTTAGAGCTTCTGATTATCCTCTTTAAATAGCAAGCTCTGTCTACAGAGAGATCCAACTACTCATTAGAGATGGGCTGGTCTGCTGACATTGCTGCACACAGAAAAATGTTCTGCCCACTCTGAGTCACACACAGCCCCCAGTGCCACACTGGCAGGTTGAAACACTCCTGGCATATCCAGAGCGGGAAGAGTCAGACATTGGCTCTAACAATAAAACACATCATCCTGCAGCAATTGAGCTGTACCCATGCTGTGAGGAAATTTTTTTGCTGGTGCCTGTATCTCTAAGGTAGACAGTCAGACTTCTTACCAGTAAACCATTGGATCCATGGACTGTGACGCAGCGGGAGAAGGTATGGTGGATGGAGGTGTCCTTTATGTATGTTGGGGGGTTGTAGCCTCCTTTCTCATCCACATCTCCAGCCATATGGAAATGAATTGGGTAATGTCCCATTGTCTGCTGGCCCATGTATTTCAGTTCTAGACCTTCAATGTGGGTAGCCTTAAAATCTAGACCAATCTGGAGGGCAAAACAACATTAGTCAAGAAACACAAATGCCTTTTGAGGGCAAGAAGAGGGCATACAGGCATAGGAAGGGTTGCGCTGTGTCTGCTGGAAAGATTTACTCTGTGGAGGGAAGGGTATGGCTGCAGGGTGAGGGAAAGAGGGTCATGGTGGCTAAGAGGTGATCTTTGATCACCTCACTGTTTTGATGGCTACATTTAACTTAATTTCAGAAGGAAAACAGTTTTTATTTAATGTTTTCTACAAATTTCAGCCAGCTGGGTGCAAATCAAATTTCCTGGGCTGAGCACTACCAAAATCTGGGGAAAACTGAGATCAGGATGTTGACACTGTATCTCAGGCGGGTTGATAACCAGCCTCATTGGTCGAGCAGTGTCTGCAGGGGCACGACATGCACTTCAAATCCAAAGGACAGGTAGCAGAGGAGGGTGGATCTGCTGTAATGTGGGGAGAGTTTGTTTGCTCAATGGTTGACACAAGGAATTTTTCTCTTCCTGCATCTTGGCTTCCTTGGTATGTGAAGGTGTGGTTGGAGGGAGAAAAATGCAAGCAAAGGGCTCTAGCCCTACCTTGATGTGTCCCCCAAAGGTGTCGAAATCAAAGAAGGAGCATAACTTGCTGCTGTACTCATAGCACTGCCCCTCCATCTCGCCCATCACCACGACGTTGCGGCTCAGCAGCCCCACCTCTGCCCGCATGTCGACGCCGTCGATGACTTCCCCGACATGGAGGTAGGTTGCTTTTCCTAAGGGAACAAGATCCAGTTTCAGGGTTACTCTGCCAATGCTGCTGGTTTCCCCTTGTGCCTCCTGTGGTGTGGTTGGCGTGAAAATGAAAGGAGTAATCAAGTCAGCAAAAAACTGTTGGCCAACACCTCAAAGGAGGGAAGGCTGGAACACAGGTGACACCCAAGTTCTTGCTGAGATATTTGCAAAAGAGGAAGTGGGGTTTTTGGTCTTAAGTTGCTTCATTTAACCAGGGTGTTAAACTAACAGTCTGTTAGGCAAAACACATTTCCTACCTTCAAAAGGGACTGCGAACATTTGGGACTGTTTTATTTTGGACTACAATCAGCTCTGTATGAACATCCAGTGCAAAAAACCTGATGATGTAGCTACTGAAAAGTCTAAACCCCCAAGGTTAGCACAGCATTTCCTACAGTAAGACACTGGGAGCTACTCAGATCCCACAACACTACTCATGGGCAAGCATCAGTCTGATCCCGGTAACATCACACTTGCTAATGCAAGCAAGGACAGGACTGGGCAGAAAGCCTTGCAGAAGCTGTGGCTTGGGACAATCGCAACCCCTCACCAAGTTTGTGGGCTGTAAAACCTCCCACTTCCTGCCCACCCAAACCTCTCAATTTTAGATCTACCCTCACATCTCCAACTTGCTCCCAACGCTTCCTTCTGCCCTGGTATTGTTGGAGTCAATAGGATTTTCCATTTACCCCATGCCACATCTCCCTTTGCCAAGCCAAGTTATTCATAACATCCTCCACACACACACATCCCTCCATGGAGGAGTTAAAAGCACAGAGAGCTTTCCCTGCCCTGACTAGAAAGGGGTGAAGTCCAGGCAGTGTGGATATCTGGAAAGCAAAATATCTCTTTGCTGTAATTTCATTCAAACATATTCCTACTCCCTCCTTCCTTCCGCAGCTTTCTGCAGAGAAAAGCCATTTGGGAAAAGGTTCATCTTACTGACTACATTCTGTATTATTCCAGCAAAAATAAGTAATAAACTCTTTAAGTAAACACTGAACTTTAAGGAATGCTACACTCTCATGTATTTAATTTCCATGGAATCGTTCAAATCCTTAATTAGAAACAAATGGCAAGCCTGAAGCCTGGCTATCACTGCAAAGCACTTTATGCTTAAACAGAGGTGCCAAGTCAAGGGGAGGATTTTGAACACTGAAATAGCATTGTTTTTAACCAAACCATGATGCTTTGACTGCATAACAAAAATAAGCAAACACCATTCACTCCCTCTTCTCCTGCAGCTGGGAGCAGTGTGGTTTGATGGTAGTATTGGGATTTGGGAAGGGTGAGTGCTCCACCTTGCTCCAAGGCTGCTGTGTTGTGGGATGAGGTTCACACCACGACATGTGACTTCTGCCTTGGCACCTCCACCTTCAAAATAATCTGATCATGTGAAAAAACACCTTCTGTTAACTAGAGGAGTGGTGATGACCAAACAGGGAGATGCAGCTTTTCAGCTGCAGTGGGAAGATGAAGCTCCTCTGAGCTCCGCACTCAGTCCAGAAAGGAGGGGCTGCAGATGGGTTTGCACCTCACCCACTTTTGCAGTTGCCTCCCTAGGAAGTCCTGGGCTTACCCAAGGCCCTGTTGTTGCCCTGAAGCCAGTGAGCCCCACTAGGTGTGTGGCCAAAACCAGACCCAACACAGCCAAAAAGCAGCTCTGCTTCCCTTATCCACATACATGAAAAGAGCCACTGAAGTGAGTCCCCTTCATGTGAGAATACTCTGTGCTGGATCCTTGAGAGAATCTGTTCCTTATGAAACTGTTTTTAAGTTGTTATTTTTCAGTTTTCCTCAGAGCTGACCTTTCCTTGATTTACTGAAATGCAGGAAGAAGTTCAGATGATCATAAGAACATCCTATTTGAAGCCACATCTCCAGGATTTGTGGCAGTGAAATTAGATAGGCAGTTTTGTTATTCCTGTGCTGAGCTCTAGAATAATAAATGTCATGCTTGCATGTATTTAATTTAATTTAACACCAGTCCAGACATGCAAAACAGGGTAAGCCCTGACAGGAATGTTAAATACGGACTAACCAGTTTCTAAATATAGCTTCTTGGGTGCATGTTTTTCACTTTGTGCTTTTGCTGACTTGACATGTTTGGAGATAAAGAGAGGGATGGAAAGCAATCCCATTCCAAAGTCAGAGCGGATTTTGAATAATAGCTCCTTTAACAGAGTTTTGAAAAACAAACCTCTCCTCAAGGCAGACAGAAATTCAAGCTCCCCACGGCAACGGGGTTGAAACTGCCTGTGGGAGTCAGAGCCTGGCATGGGAGCCCTTGAATGCTGTACATGCCCACAAGGAACCAGCACTCCAACACTAGGCACCTCCCATGGGACCAGGAGTACCATGAAGTGCATTTACAGACATGTGGCACTACCAGAGACCTGCTTGGACATGTTTAGTGATGGGAATAAAAAAAAAAAAACCAAACAATAAAGAGCTTGCTCTGTGCTGAGTTCAAGGAGTTCACTCAGGGACAGGAGTGTCTCACTCTGCAGAGTACAAGTTTGAAATTAGGCTGCTGCTCACAGCTGGCACACAGAGCTTCCCAGAGAGCAGCCAGGATATCTGAGACCCTGAGCACTGACCCTGGGCAAACCCAATCCTGGGGTTTGCAAACTGGCACTGAAGTGGTTTGATATTAAAAAGACAACACTGTGCTTTGAAGGTGGGAGGAATGTGTCTGCTGCTTCAGCATCAAAGCCAATGCTGCGATTGCCCAATCACTAACAAGCCCAGGGGCCACTGATTCACCTTGTCCTTTGGGCTCGGGCTTGCTGCATCCCTCATGGATAGATATTGCCCTGCCAGCAAGCCAGGCTTGTGCCATGTTATAATATAAACCAAACAAAGCCTTGTAGTGACACATTATGTCTCCCCACAACAGGGCTGTTTGATGGACTAGGAAAAACACCATCCTGGGTTTCCTGCTGTATCATACCAGTGCCTCCAGTTAGCACAATGTAAATTCACAGGGAACAACCTCTTTAATATGTGGGCTTGCTGGTGGAAGTCTTGATTCAGCAAAATATGAGCACATTTCCATGCTTATTACTCAAGACAGTCACTATTGAAGTCGTCAGTTGTTGGCAAAGACAAGGTAATTATTAAAAGAAAGTATACATTACAATAAACATAGATGATCCACTAATTAAGGACACGCTTATGTCAACAAAGAAATTCAAAGCACAGTCTCTCCAAACTGTACAAAGCTCAAGGAAAACCTGCCATACCTGAACCTAGCCATAAAACCTGGGTTTCAGGCCTTATCAAACTTGGGATGGGTGGGATTTTAAAGCTGTTTTACAGATGTGGAAGAGTGCTCAGGTCTGGTGAGTTAGACAGATCGCTCTGAAAACCCTCCCAGGTACACTCAGGCATTCCTAAATCCCTTGGCTTTAAATGACACAAACAGCTAAATCTCCCTTTGAGAACTGAAACAGGCACTTGAAGGTCTGGGTATGGTGAAGATAAAGTGAAGCCAAGGTTCTCCTGGAATATTTTTTTTTTCTCTAAAGAGTCTTCTACTTTGAGTTCTCTAAGGATAAGACCATGTGTCTCATGCTCTTTTAATGTTTCCTAAACAATTTTTTTGAGGGAAATGCTAAACACAATTTGTCTGCTTAACTCACATAATCCAGTCACAGTGAATCCTTCAGGGCATCTTTAAGTCAGTGCAACTCATTGCAGATGCCAGCCCAGATCTGACAAATTTATAATTTTTGCCAAACACTTGTCATCACTGGTGGTAATGCCCCTATTGCTTATATTTAATAACCAACAAATGTTCACAGGGCATCCCTTCAAAATCTCATTATTCTCAATTACCTTGATGGGGTTTGCTGTTGCATCCATAAGTCCCAAGCCTGTAAGGCAATGCAGCATGGTTTGGGTGAGCTGACCAGCTCCTTGAGTCACACAGTACAACCTGATGTCTTAACAAATAAATATTACTCAAATTCATAACTTTTACATAGAAAATTAAATTTTCCACAGTAGAAAGCATAAAACTTTATAAGCAGTTCAGAGCTAACTAAGCCTTCTTGAGACAGTTTCGTGCTGGGTAACTCATCCTGTTACAGCCCCTAATCCCCTTTCTCCTTCAAAATCCTGCCCAGTGTCCCACAAAGCTCAGAAATACACCTCCTGTTGTAGGAGTGTGAAGAGCCTTGTGTTCTCATGGATATTAAGTGTATGTTCAAATGCTGTACTGGATCAAAGCTTCAGTAGCTGTTTGGTTTCAGGGCTAAAATGAGTGGACCTTCAGGCTGCAGATGGGCACGATACAAGGACTGGGGTGGACTGAGGGCAGTGCATCCTATGCTGGCTTCAACCGAGCACTGAGAGGTTCCTGCAAGGTGTATTAGTGTTTTATTCCAATGGCAGTGCCACTGTCTTTCCTAAGGCCACTCCTGTCCCACTTTACACCCTCTTTCTGTAGCAGCTGCTTGGCAATCTACTGACACACTTCTGTAAATGTGAGGTTTTCCCGCTCTGACCTTCCAGGTTTTTACTCTCTTTATTCTGACGTGTAAGTTCTTGCAGCTGGAATGGGAAGATTAAGGTTTGGTGGACAAACAGTTCAAATATTTACTAAAATCAGGCTCAAACTCAACCCTTCTGAAACGCTATGAAAATCTGAGTATTTCTCTGTCCATTCAGCTTTAAGGCAATGCCCAAAGGTAGCAGAAGGAGCTCTGAAAGGCTGTTAGAAAGGGCTATTTCACAAGATTTCCTGCCCAGCCCTCAAGCACCAGAGTTGAATTAGAAAAAGAGCTTTTGGCAAGTTGCAGACAAAATGATGCCAACTTCTAAATAGAACACCCTAAATCTCTAGAAGTATCTGAATCTTGATAGTTGAGAAAGTTCTCCCATCCCTACAGCACCAGATGAATGCTGACACAGTTTGTGAAGTTGTGACATAACTATGTATTAGCATTTTAATTCAAAGTTTTCTGCATGAACAAGATCACAGTAAACTCCATATCTCTAGTATTTGCAACCCAATAAGCATGATTTAGGAGATGTGTGCTTGTAATCATAGATTCATCAGTATGTGGGATAATTGGAGTAATTATGCCAGGCACAAATAGTTTTTTCATCCTTTATCAAGAGCATATAGGAGCACAAAAGAGCATTTCATCATTTCTGTTCCATGGTGAAACTTATCAGCATTGGTAGTAACTTCATACAGAGCAACCAAGATGCAGATAAGACTTGTTTCCCAGGGAAACTAGACAAAATACTTGATCTTTCCTACTATCCAGTTCTATCATAACAACACAACCCTTCCTTCCTTCCTTCCTCCTCCCTCCCTCTGCCCTTCACTGTCGTCCCTCCCCAAACCTTGTGAAGTTGGAAGATCAAACAGTTTTAATCTGTTCCCACAGAGAATATAATCTAGGCACAAAAATGACAAGCAAGAAAAGTTAAACAAAGAAGAAAGTGGAGGAAAAAAGTTCTATTTAAGTGAGCGACCATTTGACTGGGAGCAGGACCTGCAGATCTGGGTCCTCAGGCACACGACATTTACCCATGGGAACCACAGCGTTGACATTGCTGTACTTACTCCAATAAAGGAGTGCAAAAGATCAGAACCTGGGTGCTCTCCCTTGCCTTCTACACTCAGATTTGCCAAAGTCCACAGTTAGACAACTAAACCCGACTAAAACCTGATGGCAATTAAGTATTAATGCCCTTAAGTTGTTTTGAAAAGCTCTAATCAATCCATTCCTAGTAAGTAAAGAAAGTATGAGTTTCAGCAGGAAGTATCAAATATAAATAGGACATGAGCTAACTAATGAGTTTGACTTATTTGGCACAATATGCTAAATCATGTCTATTAAAATACTATTAAACAATGAGAACATAAATTATATTAAACCTTGGTATGCCAAGTACCTGCCTCACCAAATTGACTGTCCACAAAGCAGAGGTTTTCTGCCTTTTAAGAGGCTAAAGTAATTCATATCTGACATTTAGGTTTCATTTTAAAAAAAAATAGAAAGGAAAAAAATAAAGATTAAAAGGGAAATAAACCATCACGGGTAGGAATGGTTTTATCATTTGTCTTTCAAAGGACAGACTTGTGGAGTTCTCAGCTGCTAAACTAAACCTCTTAGGAAAATTAAGCCATTCCACTTACTACAAATGACATCCCTCTGTAATATAAATGTGTGGAAGGCTTTACTCGGAAGAAGCAAAGCAATCTTGCATATGTCCATAGCATATGCAAGACATCCATGATGAACGTCTTCTGCACACAATTACAAGCCTAACCCAGACCCACAAGGCCAGGCTGTGCTGGGGCAGCTAACCTGTGCTAAGGCATGGTCCTTATTGTGGCTAATTGCACGTCATGGCACAGGGCAATGGATAAAGTTACACCATGGCTGGCCACAGAGCAACTCAGGGACCTCTTGGCTCCTAAAGACAGGGGACAGCTCAGCCTTGCCCAGGTTTTATTTCATCTAGACTGAACTTAGATTCAGGTAGATTATTTTATTTTCTAGTGTGAATGTGTTTTTGTTAAAAGAAAGTTGGATGTGATTTTTATAACTGGACTAGATTTTGCCTTGATTTATATAATCAGTGAAATCCCATTGACGTCAATGGAGTTGCCTGGATATAAGTAAGGGGAGACTTTGGCCCTGGTGTTCATGTTATTTGTGGTAATAAAAGGAATGTCCTAATTCTCCTAAAGAGTAATCGGAGACCGAGAGCACAATTACTTTAACAAGTGTTTCCACTGCTTCTTTACTTGAAATTCACATGAACTCTTTTGTTGTTTTTAACCCATTATTAATTTCCTTAAACTAACTTAGCTGTCCTTGTTGCAGAAGATAAATGTAACTACATGAATTTCACAGATCCATTAGATTATGGGAAGCCCAAGATTCCTGTGCCATCTTTATTTGTACTGGTCATCTTCCAAGACCATCTTCATGATGTGACTTGTATCCTACTAGTCCGGGCCCAATAGCTTGAAAAGTTGCTCAAGGAAAATATTCTACTTGGAAATGTGTCTTCTCTGAAAGCACTAGTCATTTTAAGTCATAAGACTATGATACATTCGAACTGTGAATAACATTTTCCTTGGCTTGATGAACATCTCCAACAATGAATGGCTAGAGTTCTGCGGGAGGCAGTTGCCAAAGGAAGTATATTTGTACCTTCCAGAAGTAGTTGCATCAGAGATAATGTTGAAGTGGTTCATTTCAGAGAACTGAATGAACTCCCTGGTGCATTGGATGTTCCAAGTGCCCTCATGGTTTCTCAGAAAGATCTTACTGTAAATGCAGACAAAACCTCTGCCTAGAGCAACAGCCAGTGTATAAGCAAAAGATAATGTAATATGCATGATTTACCACTAGGCAGATGTTGCCTCTGAAACACAGCCTCAGCTACTACAGACTTTTGTGTTGTAAAATAATGTTTGCTTTTGTAAAGTATAAAAGTAAAAAAATCCTCATCTATTCAGAGAAGAGGCAGTTCATGTGCTATTTCCATTCTCTGCTTATCAGTGTGCCAAAACATGGTTCTAGAAAGGAAAGACTACAGACTCAAGTGGAAATGTAAACCTCCCGCCCAGGATTTCACTTTTATGCTCCTTTATACTGATAATAGTCTGTGCCTCATCACAGTTACGCTACTTAATTGGACTCAGTATCTGGAGGCCACTTTACGATTACTGGACTACAATGTCTTTTCATCAAAAGCAATTTGTCTGCATTTGAGCCAGTCACCTTCAAGGGAAAAATGCTGTGGCTCTGCAAAGGCTCCTGCTCCTCCTGCTCAGACCAGCTCAGGCAGCACGCTGCCAACCCCCTCTCCCCAGTGCTGTGGCTCAGGACAATTCCCTGGCCACCAGAAATGTTTGGTTAATACATCACCTCTAAGCAATGCTGTCTAGAGACACAGTAAACGAGAAACAGTAGCTTCAGTAGTACAAAACAGTATTTCTAAAATGTAAGATTACAGTTCTTGTTAAATAAAACTTAAGAGAACAGCCAGCTGGACATTACTTCATAGCCATACAGTCTCTCACAGTCTGCTCCTGCCTTAGATCACTCTTCACATGAGTTGTGCTCATCTCCTGCTTTCTAGGAAGTGGTATTTCAAATGCAGTTACTGAAAATTTCAAATACCTGACCTGTATCTGTCCCTCTTAAATAAATTCTCCCACTCAATACTGTGCTTGGGGACATAAAACGGAGACAGCTGTGAAAAGAGAAGGCAGAAAGGAACCAGAATCAAATCAGATGGCTTTCAAGCATGAAAGGAGTTATGTATCCCAAAAGCATCTAAAAACCAGCCCTCAAATTCAAGTGCCTTTCAATTCTTTGCAATTCTTTATGGAGTCATCTCAGTGCAAATAACAGAATTTGTGAACTGCAACAGTAAGATGAAGAGCCTTACCTGCCACCTTGACCTGGTTGGGCCTGCAGGTGCTGCACGGCAGTACTTGGAACTCCTCTGCCTGGTACATGGAGTAGTCAGTGCTTGCCACCACCAGCCTGTCTCCAGGTTTCCATGAGCTCACGTCATCCACCAGATTCAAAACTGTGCTGTTCACATTGGTGTCAATTGTTACTGTGAGCTTTGGTTTCACTGAAAAGCCAAAATGGTTGGGTGGAGGATTCAGTTAATCTGATCAGAAAATTCTTGTGCCTTTTTTAAATTTAGTTTTTTAATGCCTGGAATGCCCCCAAAATTATTATTTCCTGGGGTGAAGGGGGGAGCAAAGTTAACTCTTCCAAACATGTTTTTTACAAGCTTTGGCATGGAAAGAAGAAAACAGGAAAGTATTTTCCTCCAGTTGCAGGCAGGTGGATTTTCCACTAACCCCAGGACTAAATTTAAATGTAGCTCTTAGTGGCTCATTTTCACCACACCCACTTAGCAGCAGCCCTTGTGGGCACTGGGTGCTGTTGTTTACAGCAGCCAAGTGGTCTTTAATGTAATGACTGTTTTTTCCAGAAAAACAACAGTCTTCCACCCTTCTTTTCCTGCCAGCTGAGTACCAAAGAACCCTAATGACCTGTAATGACCAGGTTAGGGACAGTGGTGTCGGAATTAATAACTACAAAATGAAGTATTAATTTCAAAACCTGTTGTCTTCACACATTCTGATTGACTAATACTACCTTATCCCAAAATCCTTTTGCAAAAGACAAGGAATTTACAGAAAGGGACTTGCCAAGTATTTGCCATAACCTTTCTGGGTTTTTGGGACACTGCCCTGCTGCCTCTGTTAGTGCTTGGGAATTTTTCCAGAGATAAATCTTTGGCCATTTTATCTGAGTTCTTGTCGATAGCCCAGACAAAGTTTTAGCTTGGAGAAATTGCTCAAGTTGTTCTGACACCGAACAAGAGCCAGTCATGGGAGAGACAGGATTTCTGCTGTTCTCTGTCCTGGCTTTCAGGCATGGGGCACATACCAGATCTGCCGCACAGGAACCGCACTCTGTAGTTCTGGCAGCCCTCGCCTGTCTGGCCCTTGCCGTGGCACACAAACCGGTAATCGTGGCCGCTCTTGTAGAAAACCTCCGTTGTTAAATCAGCTCCATCAAGCGTCATTGCCTGGAATGAGAATGGAAATATAACACAGGTGTTACTATGAGCTGAAGGGATTTCACCAAAACATCCATGCCATCAGAAGAGGCTTTTGCTGTGTTTTGGGTCGTGCACAACCGTTGCATAACAAAACACTGTGACTCGGCTCTCCAGCTGGTGCTCGCACACAGCTCCTCTATCCAAAGGCTGCATACATCATTGCTGGAGGTGCATGCCTTTCTCCTGGGCCTATGCTGAGACCATGTGCTTTTCTGGGAGGAGTATTCTGAGCTTCAGTAACATCTGCCTCGGTGCCCTAGATTTTCTCTTTATGTTAGTTTGAGGGCAGATGGAAATGTTGAACACGGATGCTTGCACCCAAATGAACTCATGGTTTCCAGCTGCTGCACTGCACTCCTTTAATTGCTTGTGGCTAAGCTCTGTCTGAACCTTGCAGAAGAAAGGGGTAGGGGTCTTATTTCTTCATTGCATGCATCAGTCTCTCTTAAAAAAAACGCCAAAGCTGCTGCAATACCCATTGCTTTAAAAGGAACAAGGAGAGGTGGCTTTTCCTCACGGACAAGTACCTGCCTGTAGAGCTGCCTTAAGAAAAAAGGCTGTATCATACCAACAAGCATTGAGGTATGTAACCTGTCCTGTGTTCCTGCTGAAGCAACATCACCCCTCAGGGTCATGTTAGATTTCACAGTCTATCTCTACAGCTTGCATTTCTCTCGACTCTTTTACAAAAATGTGGTGCCCTGCTTTGAGCGATCCAAATACCACATGCGTTTTAGAAAGGCACCAGGAGATAAACCACCTTTCAGTGAAGGGTCTGATCCTGAGTCTCTCACTCATGCAGACTTTCCTTAATAATGCACACACCCACTGCTGTGTATGGGATTAGCACCATCAGCTGCAGGAATGTGCCTCTGGTTGTGCAGCACTTCTGTTATTGTCATCATCACATCTTCAATTTTCTTGCATGTAGCAGAGCTGGAGCAGGCCAGCTGCTATAAATCAGTGTAACTTTATGAAAGCAATGAGCAGCACCAGATTACACTACCTGAGGATTTGCCCTAAGATCTGCAGGATAAACTGAAAAATTTCTCGCTTTTAATATACATGAGGGAAAAAAAACATAATTCATTTCACAGAAGAGGAAAATAGGGTTTGTTTCTTGAACAGAAGAATATCTTTCTTGTTTCTCTTTTAACATGCAGACTAGAAGGGGCTGTATCGCAACAAACATCTGACCCCTGTTTTGAACTAAGTTATCACTTCTAATACATGTATATGGGAGCAGAAATGAATGTGAATTTGCTAAGACCTGGCAGAAAATTATAGGGCAGTTTTTTCCTTTCTGGTCAAGAGAGATTCTTTATAACATCTAGCCCTGGAAACTTTCACTCATACTGTCAGCATTCCCGTTTACTTCAATAGCTGCATTCTTGTGAATAAGGACAACTCCACTAGTTCAGAGCATGCAGGAACCTTAGACTCAGCCTTGCACAGATATGAAGGATTTTATTGTCTTTCTAGGCAATGTTTTGCTGGAGTTGTTTTAGTAGGTAGACATATAAAGTATATGGTGAAAATATTAAAAAAAAAAAAAAAAACCAAAACCTTGGTTTTTGCTGCTGGGTTTTTTTTTGTCCTTAAAGAGGCTTTTGCAGTCTCAGAAAAGGTGTATAACTGCTCCTTAGCATTCTGGCCTGATGGCATAATTATAATGTTTAGCTCCAAACAGAATTCAGATTTCTTTCCACAGAGACTCCAAGAAATGGCTGCAAGCTCACCAATATCCTTGACTACCTGCTACAGCTGGTAGTTTTACCATCTCATTACATTTTGTGATTAATTTTTTAGGTAGAGTCCGTTCCAGGTCCATTTAAAAACTTTGAAATTTTCATGTGCTTGCTCCTTTTAATCTTCCAATAGGGAACCACATATTTCATGATAGCATCTGTGCTGTCCATGACCCCATCTGTACTCCTTTTCATGCCAGAATTTACTGAAAGGAGCTCAATTCTATAAACTTTTGTCTCAGAATGATACAAGACTGAATACCAGGTCTCGTTGGTTATGTATTAGAGCGGTAAAGTAATTGGTGTCTTTTATTTAGAAACAAAAATTACTGACAAGCACAATTATTTTGGGGTTCAGTGTCAATGCAAAGAGGACTTGCCCCTCTAAAGTGAGCGGTAAGTCTGCCTACCTGGATGTCAATGGGCTGCCTACAGATTTTATCAGGATGAGCAGCTTTGAAGTCAGACAGCTTCTCCATGTCCTTAGATCTCACTTTATTAGGCTTCTCAAACCACTCTGTCCATTCTACATCTGGAGACAAGTGCAAACAAGAATAGTCATTTGAAAGTCAAGCTTAATGAGTGCAGCAAAAATGCATGAAGCGTAATATGATCTCAGATATCATTCACAGGTTTCTTCACTCATGATCTGATTCCTGCCTCTTCCTGCCAGTGTGTCAGCCACTTTTAATGATGCTCTGAAGTGCAACCAGCCAAAGGAGAGCAGTTATTAAAAGTTACATAATTGGAGGGTGAAGTATGGGCATTATTAATAGATATGGCTTTTGGATCTGTGTCCTCCTTAGCTGCCTTTTCTGATCTTTCCGACCAAGTTGCAACCAGTTACTGTGTGTTGTCTGACACATGGACATGATGACTATGCAGTCAAAAGAAGTAAGAGGTTGTGTGTGATCTCTTAGATCATAGGAGATGGAATTTCATACCCCGTGCGGTAAAGGAAAAAGGATCCCAGTTATTCAGAGAGTCCTGGAGACAATTGGGGAAAGAATCTCTGAGTGTTCTTTACTTGGGTTTGTGGCGACGTAAATAGCAGCTAGCAAGTCCACTCTTCCCAAATGGAAAAGAACTGCAATAAAAAGGATGATTCACCCTATTTGTCAGCTGTCTACTACTGAGTTAAATAGCTCTCAGACCTCTTACCTTGAACCCACTCACTCGTCGAAGAGACGTTAAAATGTTCTCCGTTCTCAGCTTTGAATAGTTTGAATACTTTGGCCACAGCTGACCCTCTGTGACCTGTTAAAAGAAAACCAAACCTTGGTACAAGCACTGAATGCAATCAATAAAAGTCAGAACTGAAAAGGTAATGGTCTGTGTGCATGTTTGAATATTTTGGCTACATTATCCAAAATTAGCCCTACACAACATCCAGAAAAATTTACTAATCTTGGAATGAGGCTTCAGACACTTTTATAACTGCTTGGATAATCAGGAGGAAAAATCTGCAAAAATCAAGAGAAGATAAACCTCCCAATTATTTGTAATATATTGCTATTTTTATTTGATGTTGTAGCAAGCCATATTGTTAATGTCATGAGAAGACAGATTCAAAAGTGTTCAGCTTGCAAGAAAATGGTTTCACAGGAGGATTTGAAGCTACAAATTCAGGATACACAGATTAAATTTTCAACTGGTGAGAACTGGGTCTGTTCCATAGCTTTGTGTCTAAGGGAGGCAGTGTCTGAGCTCAACAAAGTTACATGGATTTACACTGGTGTAGAATCTCACCTCTTATATCAGGATTTGGATAACCTAAGCTATCCCCCACTCAGCTGTTTCAGCTGCGTTAGTGGAAAGAAGCAATATGTACAGAGAGAATTCAAATAAATATGTCAAACCGTGAATTCCTCAAAACTTCAATGTGATTCAGTGGCAAGTGGAAACACCATCAACCAAAATAATCTCAACCATAACTCCAGTAAGTTCCAGAGATCATGTCAAGCCAGCATTTTGTGCATTAAATACCTTGATATTCAATGTGGTCTTCAACAGAAGAGGAGGGATTTCCTTTAATGGTAATAAAACTCCATGGGTGCCTGGAAAATGAGAAATGATCGAGTTATGTCAAGTATGAGATGTGTATTTTTCATAGCCCTGTGTTCTTACATTTCTCAGGGGCACCACGTTCAAAACAGTCTGATTAGTGTCACAGGCAGCTTAGTTAAAATTAAAAATATCTTAACACTCTATATTTCTTCAGTAAATATATCAAAAGAGAAGGAAGTTTGAAGACAAATCCCCACTTAAAACACTCCTGTAACAAGTGTGTTTCTTTTTTAAATGAGTGATTAAAGAAACTTGTGTGTGACAGACCCATGGGACACAGGCAACTCCCTGGGGAGCCTGAAAATAAATCTTTTGTGTGTGTGTATACACTGAAGAATATGAAAAGAAACCACTTCTGCTTAAATAAATTTAGCTCATGCTGAAACCTTGTATATCACAATGTGTTTGGAATGACCCATGAGAATTTCTAATAGACAGACTGGCTGGCAAAGGACAATAAAAAATACTTAAATAGTCTCTGCATATCTAGTTTCCTTATTTTGAACACTGAACAGAGATGAAGGTTTATGACTCTGAATTGTCTATTCAAATCTGATCCCATGTCAGAAGTTGGTTCATTAGCACCTGATGGTTATTGATTGAGGGGGTTCAATAGCTATCACTGGAGAATGACCACATGGATGAGAAAGCAATGGATACAGGGAGTAAATTGCCTCCCAACCTTGGAGATGAACCCAATTAGTAGGGGTCAGGAGGAATTTTTATCTTCAAAATAGGAGTAGTTCAGGCATATCTGCTCTTGATGACTTAGAGAATAAAAAAATATGCTTTTAGGGTGGTAGGGTGGAAGGGAATTTAGCAAAACCTCCCATAGATTAGATCATTAGATCTATAGTTATAAATATCCAGTCATTTCAGTTGCATCAGGATTTACCCTTGAGTCCTTCAGGTCATCTTATATTGACCATTCGCTGGTATAAGCCAAGTTCCAAACCACCCTGGGACTCCAGGAGAAAACACATGCAGGCATTGACAGAGAGCCACTAAAACACTCACAAATCACCACTGCTGTGAGCTGGGCTTTGCTGGGATTCCCAGCCCCGGGCTTGGGGAGCAGCAGGTTCTGGGTGAGCACTGGCGCACCCCGTGCTGTGCCATGGCCCCAGAAATGTGCTGGACGCGGCGGCTCAAGGAGAGGGAGTTCCAGCAGCGTGTCCTCAGCCCCAGCACAGGCCAGGCTCAGTGGAAGCTGCCAGCACAACTGCCTCGGGAGCCTGCCAGCGAGCCAGATGCTCCTGCTGGAAAACTTGCCTGTGCGCCAGTTGCCAAAGGCACTGACGGGCTGTGATCTCCATCCAGGGAGAGAGGGGGATGGGGGCAGGAAGGACACTTTATCACTCAGCAGTAAAGATAGATATTTTTTGTTGTTGTTGTTTGTTATTATTATTATTATTATTAATGTTTTGGTACACCAAATTTGAAACATGACCAAAAAAAATGATACCGCAAAAACAATCTAAAGAATAAAAGCTATTTAGTTCTGCAACTCAAGGTTTGGCCCCATTTCATGTGTTAAAATACTTGTTTCTCCCAGTTATTTTACCACTAAAAATAGTTTTAAAGTCATTCAACCCTGACATATAAGGACACATGCAATCTGTTTGGGCTATACAAAACGAAGCGACTAACAAGTCCGGAGCCAAACTGGTGATATTTGGGTGGGATTCCAAAGAGAACAACTATGTCATCAAGTGCAAAAAGGCTTTCTCTTCATTTATTACTAAAAGGAAAAAAAAAAAAAGGCTCACACTGTAAGAGTAAACACACTCTTTGAAAGGACAACAATAAAGGAGGAATGCAAGATTTTCCTTTCATTCCTAGTGTTCTGGACTCAGCAAACAGGCAATTGAAAAGAGATGCCAGGACCACAGAAACATTTCTGGATAAATCAGCATTGCTCATCAGCTCTGCTACAGCGAGGGGGAGTTGCACAACTTTACCATCTGGTTGAATTTGGAGCAACTGGAGATAGGAATTTTTCCCTATAACCCCCACCAACACCCTACCCAGAAAACAACACAATATACAGTATGGCTCAATAGCCTGACTCAAGTGGCACCTCACAAAATGTGAAACTGAAATTTCCTGAGCCCGGGGCTTACACTGTTATTGTCTGAGTGGTGCCCATGGCCAGCCCCAGCCACTGGCAAGGAGCTGAGAAGGTCTGACAGCCAGGATTCAGTGGGACCAGCCAGCAAACCCCTGTGCCAGGCAGTGAGTGGTGACAGGCAGGTTAGAAAGAAAAATCCATTGGCTCTCCTCAGCCAGAGCCTTCCTCGGTCAGAGAGATTAAAGTCTGTACATGTGTGTGTCATTTTCTCATTCTGAGCATTGTTTTTTATAAGGTACTTCAAAAAATTTCAAAAAGTCAGGTATGTGCATCCTTATTCATAGCTATAGATGCGTCTGAAATGTAAACCAGTACATCTAAATCTTGTTACACTGAAGTGGAAGTTCAATGTGCTCAAGGAGAAAAGGTTGGATACACCTGACAAATCTGCCTGTCTTCCACTGTGCAATCCAACAGCCTTTCTAAGTCTGGTCCCAGCTGCCATCCAGACAATGTTTTTTTTGAGTTGATGAACCTAAACTCTGAGAACACTCCTAAAAATACGACATTTTAAATAACATACCAGATATTTTTCCACACATTTTTCCACACACAATTATGCTGGTGGAAGACAGTGTTGACCAACTACTACCACATTATTGTACCCACAATGTCTTAATAATTTATAGAATGAAATATTGTGGTATTTCAGATAACAGCATGGTAAGGATTAGCTTTTTGACTGCAAACAATAAAAATGCTGAAAGTCACACTTCCATGGATAAATTTCTATGTCATTTCCATTATAAGCATTGATGGCAAAGTGGTGAGAAACTTGCATTAAAACACCACAGCAGCCCAAAAACATAAAGTACTATTTACTTTTTGTAAACGTATGCAAAACCCATCAAGTTTTTTCTGTTGAACAACTGGGGAAAAAAAGTATAATTTTCAAAAATCATTTTCTGTTTCCCTAATTCCAGTATTTGGAAAAAAACCCAGCAGGCTACTGGGCTTTAATATGGGGTCTGGATATTTGAGAGCAAGAATTGCACTGATGGAGATTGCCTGATTTTGGAGACCATTTCTGCAGCCTTTGTTGATTCTTTGAAATGTGTTGTCTGGTGCACAGGAGTCCATGTAGCATTCGAGACAACCTCTTCATCAACCACCCCAAATTTTACTCCATCTGTGTGTGCCCAGCTGACACATGTCTGTTTCCACAGACTGCTGTATTGAATCACTTCTCCCTACAAGGCAGATTTTGTGTGTCTGTGTGTGTGTGTGTTCTGCAGTCACCCTCTTAGTGCCTCATAAAAAAAAAAGCCTACATAAATTCAGATAAACACAAAAATTATAATGGCTACAGTTGGGTAAATAGCAAGTATTCTCAACAGTGTGTGTGCCAACACAGACACTGTTTTGGCCATAAAAGTATTTACAGTCCGCAGCATAAATCCATGCTTGCTAAATTTCTTTGCTGCACAAGTCCCCAAATCTGTATTGGACAAGCTGAAGAATGTGCTGTATGTATGTCTATATGTGTTTAGCCAGGGCTGCACAGCAATTATTCTACCCTCCTTAATGTTCAGCCCATCTAATCCACTGTGTGTGTAAAAATATGCCTCTTAAATCTTTGGGGGATGGCTTGAAAATAAATTGGAATACGCAACTTGTGGGAACAATAATTTGAAAAACATCTATTTTAATGTGAATCATATGCTATTCCTCAATCTGCTAGCAAAAATACCCAGTACAGACACTGAGTGCATCTGAAACTATCTAATTAACTGCTAAAACTTCAGATTGAGAAGTTTCCCTCTTTTTTTTTTTTTCTTCCCATGTGAAAGAACTTTGTGCCTTTGAGAGAGTGGAACTATTTGGTCATCTCAGGAAAATAATAAAGCCTCTGTGCTGGGAGAACTGGCAGGATTGGCACATACCTAAACCCAAGGTGGAGGAAATGCTTGCTGCCCAGTTTGGTCATTGCTTTCCTGGCCAAGTCATCCAAGTTTCTGGATCCTTCATCGTTCACTGCAACCGAGAGGATCATGCCATTCGCAACTCTGCCCAAATACTGGGCAAGACGGATACTTTCCTCTTTTGCTCTGTAGGTATCAAACCTGAAGTGATAAAAACACCCATAAGCATTTACTTCAGTGACCACTACACCTTTATGTACTGAAAAGCAATTGCTATTAAGAAATTACTCTTTTGTATTGTTTACAGTAATGATATTATCCCATTGCAAAAGCCCTTATCTAACAGGGTACATGAGGGGTTTCTGTTAAGCCAAATTGTTTAAACTCTAGTTGACAGACTAGCAAGGCAGTACCACTACTAAGTCTCTGTTTTTGGAGATTACTGATCTAGAAAGAATTGAATAGACATGCAATAGCACCCATTTGAGCAAGATGCTAAAATGTGTGTTTTTGAGCTTGTTGAGATGCTCTCCCCAACCCATTCCCAAAGATCCTCACATCCAGACAGTCAAAAAGTCACTCACCGATCTGAATGGACAACTGCCCCTGTCTTTGGGTCAATAACATGGACAATGACACCCCGATGGCCCCAGCTCCTTTCAAAGTAATATCCACCTTCTTCCATGCCACCAGGATGAAGAGTCTTGTTTAAGAAAGTCCAGGACAGCTTTTTCTTTCCGTGGATCTCAAGAGTGCCACCTTTACCTACTCCAAGATACTTCTGCCCAAAGTAAGGATCTGGCTGGCTGCCGTCATCGGCTCTGCAGCAGGAAGGGAGCAAAGGTTTGGGTTTGTATCTGACAGTCAAGGAGCCTCTCTCCTTGTGCTGCTATGGCCTGAGGGGAGAAGTGTTGTGATTTGCAGAGCATTTCTTTCAGGTACCCCAAGCAGCTACCCACATTGTACAGAAAATAAATTATTTTAAATAGTACTAGCAACTACTGAAGACCAACAGCAATCTGGAACACGAGTTATACATGCTATATTCATTTTACCCAGGCCAGAGGAGGCCTGGGGCCCAGACTGAGCGACACATCTGTATTTTTGAATTCTGGAGGCAGTTAGGACCCTAACCAGGAGCTAGGAGGTCTAGTGGTTGTTAAATATGAATTTGGCATCCTTGAAATTCTAAGAGATCCTGTAGCAATCTGCAAGACATAAAGGTATTATCCTCCAGCTCACCACTCTCATGAAGAAAGAAAGGATGTTTAAGGAGGGGAATTTTCAGACTAAAAGAAATCCACAGGTTTTAAGCCTATTCTAGAAAATCATCTTGAGTGGTGGGAAGGTGCATGCTGATTCTCTGGCATGACCAAACATCCCAGTGTTCATATCCCAGTAGAAGAGTAAAAAAAACAACCCACACCTGCATCAATTTTTATGGACCATTTAAATTGTCTAAAAAGTTACTGAATTTTCCACAGAGCGCCGATATCCAAGAAAATGTAATTTTAAGGAACATTTTTTGTCCCTTGATGTGGAGGAGAGATCCTAGAAAGTTCAAAGATAATATTTAACATGCATACCTACCGCCCATATAAGATGATATCCACATTGCCTTGGTAAGGGCACAGCTCACTGCCAATGTGTAACTCTCCATCATTTTCAATGAGTATATGTCTGGTACGCAGAGTGATAGGTTGCACATCGTCTTTAATGACCAGTTTTCCTAAGTAGAAAAGGTTACAACATTTGCTTTATCACACAGCAGCTCATCAGAGGTTGTGGTATCATTGTGCCAAACCCAGTGCTGGGCTCTCATCTCAATTTTTGAAAAATTCTGCCCGTCCACCCAAAACAGCTCTCAATACAAATCCTGAAGACATTACACATTTTCTATTCAGTACAGGTCTTGAAGAATGCAATTAAGATTTGCGTGGAAGAGGACTCGTTCAAAACTGAGAAAGAAATTCAGAGTTAAGATGAATAAAAGCTATTAATGGCAGTAACACTATGACTCTCTCCTTGAAGACTTGGAGGCACATATGCACCTGTCTGACCTGAGGCCCTGAGAACGCAACTATTGCAGTATGATATCAGGCCAGTGATTTAATAAAAAAATGCTTTTGAATCAAATCACAGAAGTAGAATTGATCATTTTACTGAGCTCCTTTTGTAAATTCTCCAGAAAGGACGGAAAATAGGTTGGTTATAACAGCTAAAGAGTCTCAGCATCTCGGTTGCCACCCAGCCTGGGACTGAGGTAAAGCTGTGTTTGCCCAGTAACCACCCACTTCTCAGCAAGAAGCAGGAAGCTCTCCCAGCGTGGTGCAGAGTGATGTAGGCAGCCACAGTGGAAAGCAGACTTCAGTCAGCCTTGCCACCAGCATGTTTTACCTCCACTGGTGATGTGGATAGAGTGGACAGTCGCAGAAGAGGAGAGAAGGAGCTTCCTGCCATTACTGATTTCAACACGGTTTTCTTCATTGTGACCTGGATTCCAGTTTTCTAACTCAGGATCTTTGTCAGGACATGTGACAGCTGCTTCTGCTGGGTAGAGATGGAGAGTGAAGACAATCACCATTTGTTTGGTGTGGGACAGAAAGCTTCGTATCTGGGCATCTTTACAGTATCATTCCCAGTACCGCCCTTTGCTGGCTCTCTGGAACACAGCAATATCTCAGTGCAGCAGAGTACATGTGGGTCACGACCAAAAGAAAACAAACAGCAGCTTAAGCTGTATGGTTTTCTGTTTTCTGGAAGCATGGAAAATCCCAATGCAAAGAAGCCTTGCAAGGGATGGGATTTCTAGAAAACTATGAAGAAGGGGTTGTAACTGAGCCCTTCCTGCAGTGACATTCAAATCTGTTCATACCATCCAGACACAAAGCCTTTCACAAGCCCAGGGAAGGTGTTGATGAAAGAATAAAACAACTACTACCTTTAAAAATGCCCCCAAAGCACTTGCTTTATTTTAGGTAAAGATGTTAAAATGTGGTTGCATTCTGTATTTTCACTGGAGATGGAAAATAAAAGAGCTCAAACTAACGTGAAAACACCAAACACCAAGGAATTACCAGTACATCTAGTAAGAGAGAGCAACAGGAATCTCACAAGAGAGTGTGTACATGTTTGTGAGCTTTTCCAGGCAGAAGCAATAAGGATTCATTCAGTTTAGGATCACACATCACCAGTCTCCACACACTAATTTGATGATGAGCTGCCATGACATGTTAGTCTAAACAGCTCATACCAAATCCAAGAGTCTCATGTTGTAAGTATTAACTTAAGGTAAAATATTTCCCTGATACACCTCAGTCTATATGTGAGCCTCATGTCTTACTCTAATCAACAAAAGTGCGATGAGAGTCTCATGTGTGATGCATATTTTCTGAGGGTAGGACCCTTCCTAATCCTAGGAAGCTGAGGTCAGTGGAAGTTTGAACAATGAGCCCTTTGCTTTTAGAAATGGCTGGGAGTTCTCACCAGCTTTCTAACAAAAGCACCATAGAGAAAACGACAGGATTGACAAATCAGTGATGATAGACATGGGATAAACACCTTGACCTCAGCAGGTTATGTCTCTGGCACTTAATATAGTAAAGTTGGGTGGGTTTTGCCCCACAGATACTGATGCATTCACTTATTGGAAAGGACAATGATGTGAATCTGTGCAAGGAAACATTTCCTGGTGCTAGTGTAGTTGACAGCCAGTTGGTTTTATGCTGCCACTCTGAAACTTGAAGGACATCTGTGATTCCACAGAAACAGAAACAAAATCTGTCCATCTGCACTCAGTTTCCTCTCACATTCCTCCACCAGCTTCATGTCTTAAGGAAACAATAGAATTGGACCGGCCACAGCCTTAATGCCTCCAGAGCCCCATTAAATACCATCTATTCAAGGTAAGCAAGGGATGTTTCATGTGGGCTACATATGCCTTGGCTCTCTGCAAACTTTTTCCATATACATTAAGAAATCAAATCAGAGAGGGCCAATAATCTACCAGGTAGCAAGTCAGATACTGATAAACATCCAGGAACTGATTTTGATACCATTTGTGCCAGCTGAAAGATGGAAATGTATCAGTAATGTGGGGCCACTTTTTCTGATTTACAGTAATTAAGAAAAATAAGAAGGTGTTTCTGGGTTCCTACCAGAAGACACACAGAATTAATAAAAGTGAGAAAAGATAAATATTTCAGACAGGAAACAGGGTTTAGATGTTCAAATATAACTATAATACACACTGACAATAAAATTAAAAACAAAAAAAAAGACCTGTTTTTTCTCTGGGAATAAGGATAATAGAAAAATTTGCTTATGATGAGAAGTGATATAAAGCCAAAAGAATCAATTCAAATGTAGAGGTATAATTTATCAGCTAGATGAAGTGGACAGGACAAAAACTTGTTCATTTTTCCATTTACTGATTATGCCAGTATCCAAAGATGGCTTGTGCCCCCAAATTCATTATTTTGAAACAGAGAGGTAGACAGTGAAGCCTAAAGGGAAATCAAGAGGAATTTATGCTGATGTTTGGGACGACAATCAGCAAAAGTCAGTGCAACCCAGAACAAAGGACCCAAATTCCCAATTTCATTAACCAATTTGTACCAGGAGCTGTGCACATCACCCACATCTGCTGTGCCAAGGACACCGTCAGGATGAGCATCTTCTGCCAGCTGGTCCAGCTACCTTGACAGCTTGATTATTACTCTCATTGTCATTTCTTAAATAAAAGTGCAAATTCTACCCAGCATGAGGAATTAACTGAATGTTTGCTTCTTGACCAAAAGGGCCTGAGCATGACAATGGAAGGTTTCTTCATGCAGCTGCGGTGTTTGGGGCAAGACATATGGTCTCTTTGTTTTAAACAAATACAAACCTCCAAATTAGCTGTATATAGAATATGGAAATCAAGCTCCCCTTTTCCCCTTCCCCTCAACTGCTTTGTAACAGGACTACTTGGAAGAGAAAAAACCCAAGGGACAGGGATGTCCCACCCTCATCTGAGCTAGGGCAACACAGCAAAATATTCAGCTTCACCTCCCTCAGCCACAGCTACTAGGACCTGAGGTTTCTTTTGTTATTTCTTTGCAGCAGTTTGTTGGGTTTGGTTTAAGAATGTGTGGCAGAGTCTGAGGGATTTCTGAGGGTTCTTTCACCTGCTCAGAAATTTCAGTCTTTGCCACTCCAGCTGCCCTCAGCTGGGAATGTTGGCCCATCAGAAAACTGCTTTTCTCCTGAGTTTTCTCACTCTGTCTTTGACGCTTATAAAAAGAAGAGCGAAAAGCTGCTCAGTCCAAACCTGTTAAAAATAGCATTATAAACCATGCCCTTTTTCCCCATGGCAAGAAAACTTACCTGTGTTTACTGAAGAGACTACAAACAGAAAATAAATGAACTTTCCAGCCAGGTACTGGGAGGTAGGTAGAGCCATTGTTCAGGATTTTTAGTTCTCTGGATGGATACCTGTGAAAAAAAAAAGAATATTAAGGAAATGTCACTTTTTTTGTTTTGTTTTCCAGCTCATTCACTGCACAAAATAATAAAAAAGGAGGTTATATCCAGCTTTATGCCAGATCACTTCCACTCCCATTCAGCTTGATGGCTGAGAACACCTTTGCACTGCTCAGGGACCAGCCCGAATAGAGAGAGAAGCCATGGGCAGCTCCTAACCCTTTGTTTGGTTTAGGATAAACCCACTCAGGAATCCAAATAGACACTCAGAAAGCAGCCACCAGCTGTAACCAAAAACACCCTAGGAATGTGGTATAAACACATCCAGTGTCAGGACTCTCTAGGGCTGCATATTCACGCGTGCTAAAAAGTAATGAAACACAACAGAGGAGGCGTTTGCAGAGTGACAGATTTTCGCGAAGTAACCTTTCGGCGGCACCTCTCCCCCCCCCCGAACTACCCACACATTTTTAGCAATGGTGTTTTGTGTACCCCTGAGATAAACCGTACTCACACTTCCAACCTGAAGCCTGCAGTTTCTTAGATTTCAGATCTAAGAAAATATTGTCTGTTTGGTGTGCCAGCTCAGAATTTTCTTGCAAAACCAAAAGCTGCTTTTGAAACCAGTCTACCTAATGTTGTTTTTGTTTCTTCCATAGCCAACCCCCAGCAAAAACAAACAAGCAGTGTCATGAAAGTCAAAGTTAGAATTAATGTGATTCTCTCTGGTCTCCGGTGATTGATTCTGCAGCTCTGCCTCAGGCTCATGACAATTTATTGACATGTGTATTCACAGGGAGGCAAGGACACCCACTTCTGTATTCATAAGGCACTGTTTAAAATTCACATGTAGTCCTTGGAGCCTTTAGGTTTTATCATATAAGCCAGTGTCTGAGGAATATCAAAGACATTTATTTGTAGCTGTCATGTCACATCCCACTGATGAAACAGGATAAATGTATGTATCACACCACTTAGTTTGACGCAAAAATAAGCATAGAAAAAAACTCCAGGGTGCCCCAATTTCTTTAGGGCAAAAAACAAATGTATTTTTCATGTCACTTGTTAATATAAGCTAAACAAAAAAAAAAAACACATGAGAAAATGACATGGAAGAAGCAAGGATTTTGTTGAGCAGATTTTGCAGTGTATATATGCAAAACACGTCTGTACTTTTCGTAAAGGTGATACAGCTCAAAGTACAATGATGGGTTCAAACCACATGTAATTCAGTGATTGTATTAAAAATAGCATTAGAACCAGATTTTACAGGAAATATTTCAGCAGGGAAATGTTTGTTTGCTTTGGTATAGTGTATTTAACAGCCATGAGCTCTGGAAACAGCATAGACTCAGGACTTGGTACAGTCTATCAGGTGCTGAAATGCTGCTACAGAGCAGTAGAAGAGAGGAATGCACTTAGCAACGCTATAACTTTGAATGATATACATTATCAGAGAGCAATGCTGTCGCCATGGAATTTGTGCCAGAACCAGGCTGCACGTGTCTGACATTTTAACAGCATTAACCATCAACATTTGATAAACCAGAGCCCTTTTAAAGAAACATCATTAGAGGCATGCCCAAAGTACAGCAGTCACCATTAAAATGTCAAGATTTATTGGTGATTATTACACAGCCTGATCTGCAAACCCAGTCACTGGGTTCTGCTTTAACGATAGAGGAAGAACTAAACAAGAGGTAATGCCACAGGATGGTCATTGCAGATAAACAGTGTTTCTTAGAGTGTGGACACAGCTGTATGTTAGTGCTGCATAAAACCAGATTCCAACTGGTAAAGTTTCCATCATAAAATACATTCAGATGATACAAGAGTTCACAGGAATAAAAAGAAGGGACTGATTTTTTGGCAGTGATGGCATGCATTTGCTCTCCTGTTGCTTTGTAGGAAGCAAAGAAATGTAAATGTCTTTGTTCTGGTCCATTACAAGCTCAAAGGAGCACCTCTGCTCTGTCCAGCTCATGACCTTGTTTCTGACACAAACCTGCAGCAAACTAGTAGGAAACTAGTTCAAGAAATTCCTCAGCCTTTGCTTTCTTTAGAGCCAAGAACTGCATAGCACTTACCATCAGGTTGTGCAAAATGGCTTCTGGTTTTATATCCCCAGTTGCTCACCAGGGACAGCTTCCCTGATTGCATCCATCTTCATCAGCAGAGATCAAAACAAGCAATCAGACACTGGAAAGAAATGTCATTTTTGGAGTCGTCAGCTGTGTGCCAAGGCTCCAATGTTTTCGCAGTGTCTGATCTGCCACAGTCCAAAGAATATCCTGCTTATTTTGTGACTGAGGTAGGGTGTTTGATTCGGCTCGCACCGAGCCCAAGTTCATTGCAATGTTAGTATTAACTGGCACTTGGGTTGGAAAGGCTGAGAGCCAAGAGGACCAAGAGGATCCGACTCCTCTGATTCAGCTCTGACTAACACATGGCCGGAAAAATGCTGCTCGGAGGATAATCTCAGGAATTTTCCTTCAAAACCTCTCAATTAAGCATGTTTCCCAAAACATTAGGCACAAGCAGTGACACGTTTGATTTTACTGTTCGGTGTAAGAGGAGGAAGAGATAGTGACTCTCCTCATTACTGTCTGCTGCTGGAGCGGGCTCAGGAGCAGCTGTCTCCTGCCAGCCAGCGCTTCCTTAGCTCAGCGCTCGGAGCCGCGTGGGGATACAGCAACACGCTACATCTCGCTTGAACAGGCGCCACGTGGCTGACTCCAGCTCTGATGTAACCACCAATGTCAACAAATCTCCCTGCAGATTCGGGCATTCCGAGAGCATAAGGGCCATACAAGTGTCCGCCTAAGCCTATCATCTCCAGCATTTCTCAAATACCGTCTGGGACTTCTCTCCTGGGTGAGAAAAGCATTTATATCTAGCCATTAAAAGCTGCCTGGCAATGGCAAGTGGGACTCATATCCCTGGATCTGGCAAGGCAGACTCTGAAATGATTCCCAGCTGCTGAATCTTTCCAAAAAGTGAACAATAGCAGCAGACAATGCTAAAAGTAGATGCAGGAAACCATTAGTCTTCAGCTGGCTGCTACTGCAGGTGTCAGCAGTGATACTGTACTAGAAAGCACACTGCAGAGAGGAATCCCTATCCACTGCCCTCCCTGCGGTTTCAGGCAAGACACAGCAGACAATCCTGAGAACAAAATGGTGAAGAAATGCTCCAAGGGAGCTGGATTGTCACAGGCATCATGGTGGGGTCACACAGACACCCTGAATCCCAGGGTCAGAGCAGAGCTTTCTGGAACGGTACCACCAGTCATTCAGAAACACACCCCAGGCTCCCACCTTGACTTGCCACCTTGCACAACTCTGGGCCAACCACCCAAGCCTAACAACAAAATTTTTAGAAGTAGCTTCCAATATTGAGTGTTTTGAAGTGCTTTTTAAGACTGCCTTGGCACTCTTTGGAGGATGTACCTTCAGCATCTGCTGGAGATGAGCTCCTTTCAGTATGTCAAGCAGGGAGCATTAACAATCCATAACAAACATGACAAGGACAGGAAAAAAAGCAGCAGCTGCTTAATCTTCCCTGACAAAGATATCAAACAGAAGCAAGAAACTGTGTGGCTCCTGCTGCTGCTGCCCAGCAAGAGAGACCACTGACCTGCTTGGGAGCAAAGCAGGGATCCAGTGCCATACCCAAAGAACTGGAAAAGCTCACAGGAGAGAAAGGTGCCTTCTAGCCTGATGAGGAGTGAACTCTCAGCAGACACTTATTTGCACAGCTACTTGAGATGCCCTGTGAGTAAAATCTGTGTGCCCCCAGGATCACCTGTGCAAGGTGAAATGCTCTGGGAGACCCTGATGGGTCAGTGCCAGGGCCGCGGTGCACCCTCGTGCTCCGGGTGGCCAAACCCGGACCCTCTCCCAGCCATTGCTGATGCTGAGGGTGCAGTGATTTGATAGCTAGGTCTGAAGCCTTGCTGCTTGTTTCCTCATGCATATGCAAGGATGCCAACATCGATTTGGAAGCTCATCCTGAGAGAGGGAGGAGCTGTTTAATTAGCACCTCTGCTCCCTTTTTGCTGACATTGCATGGTCCCCTTGCCCTGCTCATGGAATTTTGCATTTTAGCCCCAGCTAGGAAGGTGCACATTTGCCTTTCTGACCCGAGGACATGCCAGCACTAGCTACAGTGACATTCCTGTGCAGGGGGAGCTTTTGCACACCCAGCCAGAGGCACAGCTAAAATCTTCAGAAAATAAACACACACATTTCTGGGGGTTACTAATGAAAATGCTTTTCAGTCTCAACCTGTGGCATCAGTGTAGCTGCCTCTGCTCCACATCTTGCTCTTATGCTTGCCACCCACACATCTGCTGCTTGTTTTTACTAGCAAGAAGATGAGGATTAAACTCAGGAACAGACTTTAATTCTCAATGAATCAATACTGGAGTCAAAAGCAGCACTCTGACTGTTTTTCCAGTGAACCTTGGTTTCTTACAAATTTATCTAATATCTTTCCAAGAAGAAAGAAGGTTCTGCTTATATATTCTCTTTATAAATATCACTGTAAATTCCTTGATTCCAGATGCCCATAAAAATAGATTCTGAATGAGAAGCAGGAGATAGAGAAAATTTTTACAATTAACATATTAAAGAAAGCTAAGGTGTTTGCTAATTTGTTGCAGTATTGGCACACTATTTTGAGACAGAAATAAAAGGGGGGGGAAGTTATTTTAAAGCTATGCTTTTATTTAGAATTACCCCCCCCCTTTTTTTTTCTTTTTTACAGAGGCTTACAGACCTTGAAAAGGAAATTTTGGCTTCACTAAAACAAAATCGTTTGCAATTCACATCACTCCACCCATCTGAGGCTGACTGACTCCCAGTTTCTCAAGCTTTCAAAGTGCTCAGAATTTCAGCATTTCACTGAATTAAACCCTCATCCACTGCATGAAGTTTTCAAAGCAGCAAAGTGTTGGGAAGCTGAGCCCTGTTTGCTGAGGTTCAGGGTGCACTGACTCTGCTATGCCTGCTGACAGACAGTGTATAGCCAAGCCTGTGCTTCCAGGGAGTGCCAGACCTAGTGGGTTCCCACTGCAGAAATACTCTGGGGATAACCACAACAGCTTTATACCCTAAATGCCTTAGATGTGTTGAACATGCCTGGATCAGCTGCAAGTCCACGAGGACAGGCACAGTCTGTGTGGACTCCAGCACGCGACTGGGGATCCTCCCGCTCAGGGAATCTGCAGGAGGAATACGGCAGCTTCCCACAAACACAATGCCCGTGCAACACTTACCCTGCAGCTTCACACACACAGGCTCCTGGTGCATGCCAAGTTAGCAGCAGCCTTTGAAAACATCGTCTTGAATGTCATGGCCCAAGGGTCCCTGGAGGAATTGTACCCTCTGCAGAGCGTCCCTGGTTTCAAGGCTTTTTTCCCTCCCAGGTAAGAAAAGTGTGTGCAGTGGCTGAAGAGGATCACAGCATCCTGAATCCTCTTCAAACTGCTGCTTTTAACTACCCAAATAACTGCATCAGGATGTAAATATTTTTCTTTTTGCTTTTGTGGTACTTCACTGTTTGCATCTGGCTCGCCACGACTCCACGCCTTCCTCTCCAGGACATTTGCCATTTGCTCTCCTTCTGCAGCGGGAGGAGGAATAGAAATTTTTCAGAGGTTTAGGCACATTCCTCTCCTTCCTTCACCAGGCTCTTCCTTTGCCAATTGTTTAGTCTCAGCCTGGGGTTAGAACTCTGCAAAGTTTTATTGGGATCCAGGGTCTGGACATGTCACAGATTATCAAATAAATCTCCAAGAAGCTAAATGCTTGCTCTGTAAGTACTTGTTCCAATGCTGGGCTTATGGTCACGAGCCAAAAACATCTTGCTTTTCTTCCCCTGTACAGCCTCAGAAATCATAACAATTAGGTACCGATAGGAGCTCAAAAGGACTTCAGGGAGCTCCTTAGAGGGTCAGTTCCAGATGCTCAGGCTGTTTTACCAATCCTCATCCCCGTGATGTCCTGTGTATCATACTTTATCTTACCTTTACTGAGTAGTATCAATGATTTCTTCACACTTTCTAGCAAGCCATGACCTCTCCCCTGACCAAACCCGAGTTGCACCTCTCTTACCTGGTGTAGGGATGGAGCCACGATCTCCTTCTCTGCCCATAAAACTCTCAGATGTCCTCTCACCCCACATCCAAGGACCACGGGTGGTTTGTGTCTGCTGGAGTCAAGCATCCCAGCCAAGGCAGTCAGTCCCCACTCAGAGCACAATATCAGCTGGCCAGTGTGTGGATGCCAAAGCAACTAACTCACCAGGGAGCAAAAGTCTGGCCAACAAAACACTAACCTTTCCCTGTAGCAACTTGTTTGGCCGTTTCTGAGGATTCCAAAGAAACAACGGGACGTTAATTACAAAGCTGTTACACCTACCTGTTTGAGTAAGTCTTGAGAAGAAGACAGGGATAGTCTGAAATCACCTGCCCCTTCACTGCTGTCACCAAGTAACGTCATGTTTAAACCAAAGTGAGTCTGTCACCATTTTGGGGTAACTGTGTGCTTAACTGTAGTCCGTGAGATCATCAGTTGTTTCTCACTTTGCATACAAAGCTCTGGTTTTGTCTTGACTTCAACCAGCAGCACATAAAAAAGCAAAGAGAATTAGCCACTACTGCTGGTGGTGTTTCAGTCCTCAATGGGAGCAGAAAGTCAATATGAGCATTGCCTGAAAGGAACGCAAGACTTTATCCTAAGCAGCACGTACTTCATAGGTCTCTAATTAAATGTTTACATCAGTTGGACAATCATTTCACTAGTCATTAGCTTCAGACAGAAACACGTTTATAACTCCTTGTTGCACCCTATGCATTCAGTTCAGTTAGAAGACACTGTTGTAAGATCACTGTACACTGACCAAGTAGATGTTGAGTTCACATAAGGTGCCTTGGTAGATGGACACTTTGGTTTTTTTAAAAGCAGACATTAATGGAGTGAAAACAGGACTGAAGGGAGAAATTCCCTACCTCTGCTGAAGTTCATCTGTTTCCCTGGATATTGCTAAAATTTCCACACCAAATTCCATTTCCAGTCCCAGTGTTACCAGAAAGCGGGCTCTTGCCTTTAAAACTCACCTTTTGATACCAAATCACATATACAGAAACACTTCTTCCCCCACAGGTTGCTCCTGTTCTGCCCTGAGATGCACTGGTTTTAAAATAAAGCTCTACCACAGAGGATGAGAATATATTTATTAGTTATAAAATATACAGGTGAACACCATTGGTTTGGTACAACTTTGTAAGGACAGGAGCAGGTTTTGGTGAGGGTGGTGGGCTCTGCCTGGCTGGTGCTCCCCAGCAGTGCTAACCCCGGGGTGCCACAGCCTTTGCAGGGATGTGCTCTGAGGGAATCTGAGAAAAAGCAAACCTTAGTGACTTATCAGCATTAGCTGGACATTGATATTCTTTCAGCTTCAAAGGAACGTAATGCTGTAGAGAAGCAGCTTTCTGATAACCAGCATGATTAAGGACTTTAATCCAGGAGGGTTTGGCTTGTCCTTTATAACCAAGCATGGCAAAACTCCCTGAAAAACAGACACAGAGAGAGTGACCTTCTGGGTGTGTCAGTTCATTTAGCAGCAGCACAGCATGGACTCCCTCCACACATCATGGAAAGGTTTTAGTCCTTCTTTTTTTTCCTTGGATTAATACAACGGAACATTTAGGAGAGAGAAAGGGTGATGAAAGAGGAAATGAGCCTCGCTGAAGCCGTTACCTCGCTGCATCACAAATCTGCAGATATTTCAACAGGCTAAGCTGGGCACCCAGATGTCAGTTATCAGGAATATTGTTTTACTGTTTATTTTTAAGTAACACTGTTACTTTTTTTCATATTTGACTACCTGAAAATGGTTAGACACTTTGAATCCTTCTTTTATTAGTTTACATCATTTCTTCCTGTTACGCCTAAACTATCCCCCATGTTGACTCTACTCTGGTCCTCTGCTGTCCCAAAGTACAAAGGCATTATGTATTCTTCCATTTTAATAATAATGTCTTGTGTTTATATTATGCTTTTCCTTACAAAGACTCCCAAGGCTATTTGCAGCTGGTTGGATAAAGACTATTCCCGTAAACACTTCTAATTTAAATAAGGTTTTGCAAAACCAGGAAACAAGACCCTAAATCCTGATCCCGCTGGGGTCAAGAGGGGTTTTTTGCATTATCCCTGGCAGAAGCAATGTGCACTTGGGAGAAATGCTCCAGCCTGCCCTGAAACACAGCCCACCCCCCCAGTGAGGAGCAGTCCTGGAGCTGTGAAGTCAAATAGTGCACATACCTGAACCAGCAGGAGGAAGCTCATGGAGCAGAACATAATTACCCAGACTGGAAATCAGGGCAGACACATGGGTGAACACCCTTGCCCTTAGGAAAAGCAAAACAGGGGTGGCTTGTGAACAGCCAGCAGCAGCTTAGTCCCACTGCCAGCATCCCACCGAGGTGGCAGGGCAAGAACGTGGCCACCAACCAGCATGTCCCTGGGAGGGTGCTGGCCCTGCCTGCTGCTTTTTGTGCCCCAGGAGCAGTCAGGACTGGAGGCTGAACCAAGCTCCCAAAACGGCCAAGTGAGTGGCACAGGTGGTTCAAGGGGCCAAGTTTGGCAAAATGAAGAAAAAAAGATCCCTTTTTAATAAAAAAATTCCTTTCGAAAGTATTCAGGGCTTTGATGAAAGAATGAAACAATGAAGTTTCAGGACAGGACCAAAAAAAACCCTCAAACTTTTGCTTTTCAAAGGATGAAACAAGAAACAGCTTCTTTGGAATCAAAACAGGCACCGAAGTGAAATCACTGCCTTTCTTGTAAAGACTGTGCTGTCCTCCCCTGGAACAGTCAAGTTTTGAAGTTTTGACCAGAAATTGATAGAAATTTCAGTAAAGCAATAGGGAAAAACATCCTCAAACTCCAGAGAAAAAAAAAAAGAAGCTGGAATTACAGCTAATTTTCCATCTGATCTCTGTGTGAAGTCCTGAAACCTGAATCAAGCTGGATGGCTGTTTTCTTGTTCCCTTATCACTCACATTATTCGTCCAAACCTGGACTCAATAGCCCCCACTTTTCCAGGAGGAAAGCCAGCATGAATTTCCTGGACCAATGCTAATGGATTTCTTGCAGCAATCCAAGGTAAAATTGTAATAAGGACTTTCCCAAACTGTTGATTTCACCTTCCTTCTATCCAAAAAATAAATAGCTCCTATTTCACTGCAAGCTCTTTTCTTTTTCATCAACTTCTCAGGTTATGATTTTTTTTTCCTCACAAAGCTGTAGAATTTTAGAGATGGAGTTTTTATCAAAAGATTCCATTTTTTTTTGTTTGTTTGTTGGTTGGTTGGGTTTTTTTGTTAGGAAAACAAAAATCCTCTCTTTAGGATGAAAAATTTGCAGCATGCAACTTCTGATGGGTGAAGTAGGGTGAAACCCCTGAAATAACTATCCTACTTCTTGCTATCCCTAAGCCAAGAGGTTTTTACTAGGTTACACTGGCATATTGTGGCAGGAAATATACTGATAAGCACTATGTAGATGTATATACATTTTTGATTGGGAAACACCAGAATTACTGGTGTGTTTCCCAACCCAATTAAGAGCAAAACAAACGTGAAAAGCAATAAAATGCAGAAGAAACATAATGGAATAAATATATTTACCTCCCTTATGGAAGACAATAGGCTTTGATGAACCTAACCTGGTAAAAACAGACATTTCAGAGCTGCCCACCACGTCTGTGAAACTTCTAGAGCACACAAGAACAAGTGATCTGAAAAGAAGGACAGTAATTACTGCATGATTGCAAAATACTGCTTCATTACGAATCTTCAAGACCTTTAAGCTCCAATTCAGAAAAGTACGTAAGAACGTGTACTTTAGGAACATGTTTAAATCCCTTTCAATCACATGTAAGCTTTTACAAGTTTAAGCCTCCATTTAAATGTTCCTAAATTAAACCTGTTCTTCACGTGGAATCAAAACAAGAACAAATGACTCTGAGTGTGTCCATCCCTTATGGGAGAGGGATACTCAGTTGCTGTGAGACTCAAACTATCTGCATCCTGGCTCTGATTTTCAGTCAGGCTTCAGCCTGCTTTGGTCCTCAGAGATGTGCTTTCAGCCCCCGGTGAGTTGTACCTGCAGTGAATTACAGGCACAACTGGTTGCATTTAGCTGAATGCCTAGGCTTGCAAAATACTCATCCTACCAGGAAAACAAACCAAATGTACAGACATCACATGGATATATGTCCCTTCATGCACATCTGATACATATACATACTCATGTGCATAAATACAGATGTAATAACTCAGTGGTGTTTAAATTGTTGGTCATAAACTGCTCAGAAATGTCTTGGACTGAAAGTCTGTTTTCTGGTTATTTGACCTGCTTCTACCAGCAGCCAAGAATTTATCTACCAATCTCTGTTGTTCCGTGTTTATGTGGCAACACATAAAACCAAAAGGAATGTGGGACAGACACAAACAGAGGGGATCCAGACCATTACCAGACACACACAAGGTAGGAGAGCCAGCAGGCAGGCAGGTCTAGTCACTGGCTTACCCAAGAAAAGTCCCACTGGAAAATCTGGCACACCTATGATTTTCATCTGCCACAAGAGGCAAAAACAATCAGTAAGAGTAAATAGAAATCAACTTGTTTCCGAAATGGAAAACTGAATCATTGGCTGCCAGGAAATGGCTGGGCACTGGGATGGGTGTGCAGGATTGCAAGTGTCATTGCGAGGACCTTATCTACTCCATAATGGAAAATGAATGGATTATTTAGAAGAAATTGCCAGTTTTCCAGAAAACCTGTTCCTGACTGCTCTAATCTGTACAATCCTGGGAGAGAGATGCTGCTTCTCTTATTGTCTGGCTGATATTTGGGATTTGTACATGTTTAATCTGTGCCAGATTTCTTCAGAGCAGAGATTTGGTTATGAAAGTAGGTCGTTTTCCTTTCTTTATCTGTCAGCCACAGGTTGCTACATGAACTGGGCTCTCAGCAGTTTACTTACCTCTCTTTTATGGATGTTTGAACATAATCAGCTATTGCATGGGCAGCATTTTCACTGGCAACTGTGTCAAAATGCCACCTACTCACAACTGCTCCTGAACATGCATCCAGCACCAGGAAGAATATCCCACTGCTATTGAAGAGGAACACTGTGCCATTTACCTGTAATAAAAAAACAGAGGTAGTTTTATGGAGGCAGGTTGGGGAGCCTCAGACTACGATCCTGCTCCTCCATAAGGGAATTGTAAGCAAGGAAAATATCTACATTTTAAAAATACCTATAATTTTAAATGTATCATTAGTACAGATGAAGTGACATCAAGGATAGTTGGTCAGTGGCAGGAGGAAGAAAAACCCTTAGTTCTAAAATGGGTACAAAAACAAGAGAAATGAGGTCATCAGCATCTTCTGTGGATTAGGAAGATACATTTGGGAAGCCAAGAATCCTGAGAGTAAAATGCTTAGTTCAGCCTTAATACAATTTCCTTTCATGTGGGGGAAATTACTGTCACTTGGCAAAGTGGATTTGACCACGGAGCAAGGGAGAGGTGCTGAGACAGCAGATGGGGGAATAGAAGTAACACATGCACTTTATTGTTTTCTCTGAAAATTTAAATATCAAAACCAAACTATTCCTTCTTGGTAGGGTTGTATCAATGCCTCAAAGAAGTTGTAGCAGAAATGGCTCCTACTCTTCTTCTTTCCTACAGCAAGAGCTCCTTCCCCATGTTACACTTCCCAAGATGTGCCACAGTATTTACTTTTAGAAAGCCAAAAACTCTCTGAGGTGCCTGGCACTGGTGCATCCCCCCACATCCTGAGGGACAGCTAATCCTGAGAGAACTCAACCTCCACCAAGGAGAGCAACAGTGTACCAAGGTCAGGCTGAACCCAGGACACACAAGGTTGCAATCCACACAGAATTCCAAAGCCCACAGGTATCAGGGAGCTCAGATGAATCCCATCAATCTGAGACATGAATGTCTTCAGGGAATATAGGGCCAGACTGAATGAGGGAGCCAAGTGTCAAAAAGTGGCTTCTGCAAGATGTCAGGGGATGCTGAATGCAATAGGGGGTCAAGGGTAAGGGAAACATGAATCTCCAGGCCATGGGTGGCCAGAGGGGAGCGAAGAGGAGCAAAGACAGACTAAATCTTTTGCCTGTCCTGGCTGTCTCACGCTCCTAAGCGTGGGAACTGTGACAAAGTCTGGGTGCACACTTAGCAGAGAGCAACCACCACTGCAAACAGACCCAAGTGTGAGCCTCTGCCAAAGAAACAGTTCTGATGTGTGTCCTGTCCCACATCCACGTGCTACAGACCCCCAGAGGAGCCAGCACATGGACCCCCATGGCCCTACAGGACTGGGGTGGGGCACACCACATCTGGCTAACTCAGCCCATGGGGAAGCTTGGATCAGAAATTTAAAACAATTCTGACCTTTGCACTTCATTCAGCTAAACAAAAACAAAGCATGTACTTCTTTATTTCCAAATTCTCTGAAACCTTTTAAGATTTAGGGTGAGAATCATCCTTTAGACAGTAATCTTCACCACCTGCCTAGCCCAGCCTTTACTGCAGTTAGGGGTACACGTGTTAGAAATAAAACTTCCTTAGGAAAACAGCACTTTGCATTAAAGCCTAAGAAAAGGCAAAGAAGCTTTGAGGATACTACACCTGTCCCACGAGTGCTGCACACACAGAGGTGTCTGTGCTTCACCGTGGGTGAAGATGCTGCCTCCAGTAACACCTGCTTGCTAATGGTTTTGAATAAATTTTGATGGTGCAGCCAGTGCACTAGCAAGAAACCTTGGCTGCTCAGACTTCTAAAGGATACTGTATCAGCTTTGCTTGGCATTTGTTAGCACTAATTATAATTCAGTAGCACACAGATATGTAAGCCTGGACAGTGTTCTTGCAAGAATGATTCCAATCACCCTTCACTGTCTAGACAGACATATAAGGCCCATGCAGGGACAACCTGACAGCTCCAAACTGCTTCAGTAGTGAAATATAGTTATTTTTATCTTTTAGTGCAATGCCAGCAGAGAAAATCAGGAAAACAAACTTGTTTTTTCCCCCACATCCTTTGTAAACAATGACTTCTGGTTTTTCCTTCCCTTCCTCTACGTTAGAATGGTGGTGTTAATTCTTCTTCTGAGGTGATAAAAGGCCTTTTTTTCCCCATAAAAGCTCAAATCCTCATCTGAATAGAATAGGAACTCCCAGTGACTTTAATGGAGTTAATTGTAAGGGAGAACAATGCACTTGCCTCTTCCAGGGGAACTTCCCATTTCCTTCTGCCAAAGCTCAGCAAGATTCTGCAGTAGCTTTCCTTGGAGATAAAGTTTTCTCTGTTTAACCACTACTTCAAATGCAGTAAAACACAACATACCTTAATGAACGCAGATGTCAAGTGGTTCTGTGTGTCCACCCTGCTGAGAGATTGGATCTGGATCCTTATATACTCGACTGAGGGTGTGCTGGTGATGGCAACCTGCAATTACACCAGAGATAGAACCTTAAAAGTTGGCTTGCTAACTGGTTTTCATCAGCAGAATGACAGCAGGTATCCATGCTTGTATATACATGATTGCAAAACTTAGAGTCCTTTGTTCAAATTGTGATCCTGATTCACAATTAAGTGCTCATTATTAAGACAGCATTTGTCAAAGGATCGTGGGAAGGCTGGTTGGAAGAGACCTCTGATGGTGACTCTGCCACTAAGTAAGTTTAAAAGTTGAGTATGGATTTCATATATTTTGCTTGAATATAAACTCAAGTGCAGGTCTGTAGGAGTCTGAAACAGTTCTACAGGATTTGGAGTGGGATGAATCTACACTAAACAAAGAGAAAAGCTGGATCTAATTTTTCAGTTATTCCCAGTTTGAAATACAGCGGCAGTGTTGTACTTCTGAATTCAAAGCTACTTCAAAATAAGCCCTCCCAAGGGTCCTTTTGTTTAAGTTTAAAAGAAAGAAAGGGGAAAAAAGGTGTCATGAATGTGCATCCACATGCTTCCAGTTGGGCACTTTCTCTGAGGCAATCTTTGAAGCACAGTACAGAAAGCTGCAGCAATTCAGAGCAAAACCCTCCCCTTTAGACAGGTTACGTGATGCTGGGCAGATTCACATGTGGGAATTCCCTACGGCTTCTCCTTGTACGCTGTCAGAACAAATTGACCACGCATGGGTTCACATACATTGCACGACCTCAGAGGCTGTTTCATGCATTGTGGTGGTACCTGTGGGGCTCCACATGCCCTGCACAGCCCAGCTGGGCGCTGGGACACGGGGTGCTGGGCAGCCACTGGCCTCTCAGGGAAGGGGTTGGGGTCACAGCTCCAGGAGGCCCCCGGGCTCATGTGCGCCGTGATTTTGATACGTTCGCAGCCTCGCTGAGAGCAGTAACTGTGTCCTTCCCGAGCTTCATGGGCTTGCAGGCGAACAAACAGGTACCTACAAATGGGAGCAAACAGAGGCATCAGACACCCCCTGTGGGCTTAGGGGACAAGCTGAGCAGAGACAGGATCTGCACATCCATTGCCAAGTGGGTCCTGCAAGGATGTAGGTCGAGCTGCCCTCTCATCCTGGTGTGACAAGACCTGCAGCACTTGCAGCCCCCATGCCCAAGCCTTCGCCACACAAGCAGCATGTGGGACAGACCCCCCTCCAGCCCCAAGTGCTCCTGCTGCTCCTGGGTGTGGTGGCATCCCACCAGAGAAGGAACAGCAGCTGTGCTTAGGCTGTTGTGCAGAAGGAGACAGGTTTGTTTGGAATTATGAGCATTGGCCCTTCAGCTCACTTCATGGCAGAGCTCAGCTCTAGGCATGCATGACAGAATCTCCAAGGCAGCCAGGCCTTCTGGCCTTTGGAGTTCATTTTTAATTCTGGCTGTTCCAAGTATGTTTTCAATCCTCTCCATGCTACAATTCAAGCTGAAGAAATTACATAAACAGCTCAGTTCAGCTTCAGGATCAAAAAGATACATGAGCTTTGCATGGAATTTTCATTCTCTTTCTTTTAAAACTAAATATTTGTTTCTTTTTGTCTGGAAGAAAGAATGAATAAGCTTGGTTCCTTTCCAAGGATGTGGGGTTAAAAAAAGAAGGGGAAACATCCCACTCGTTATGAAATAAAGTCAAAAAAACAACAACAGGAAAAGAAAAATGCCAATCCCGTAACTTCTGTGCTCTGACAGGCTAAAAAAATCACTGCTGAACTAAACGGGGAACCAAAACGCTGATACTGCCAGAATTTAGTTAGGTTAGCCCCATCAATCTGCATGTGCCAGGTCCAGATGGTTTCTGGCAGCTCATGGCCTTTCCCCCCCAGATCCACACGTGTGACCATTTTCCCCGCTATTCAGTAGTAAACAACCTGTTTACAGACTTTGGGCAGCTTTTTTTTTTTTTTTTATTAAGGAGGATTAATTAGCAAATTGATGTTTCACAATTCCTGTGATGAGAGAGACCTGGCCATCAGCAAGGAGCCTGGTTAGCAAGGAAGGCGTTCCGGGATTCGATTGCTCATGTGTTGTGGTTGAATGAATAAATATATCCTGTCTTATTTTCAAATCTGGCATTTGTGGACTGATTCCTGAAGTAGCTACTTAGTCAGGTGAAGCATCATGGGACTCGTGGTTAAACCACAAAACACTTTTTTTCTCCCTATTTTAGCTGACTGAGAAACACAGTTTCGTAATATGTTTTTTTAACCAAAGGTGTCCTAAAGCCTTTCAAAGATAGTGCAAGATTTATAGAACCATCTTCACGCCTTCCAAATAAGAGATGTGCTGTGGTGCTCTCCTTTTTTCACAAAATCTGATTTTTAGAATGTGATTATTTTAGAAATCTCTCTTCATGGGAATATGCAGAAGTTGAAACTTCCCAAACTGTCTCAGTGTTGGAGCCACAGCAGTTGCAAAAGGGTTCTTTTTCATGGCCCTTTGGGGTACATTGAGTTCAAACAAATATTTACACTGTGCCCACACCTGGAGTGATCTAAGTAGCAGGGATGCACAAGGTGCTCAGTCCAGCCAAGAAATCAGCCATTCTCTGAGCAGGAATGCAAATCACTACTTGGATGCAGACATAGACCTGCCCCAGGTACTCCAGCCTGGAAATCCATTTTGACCTGAAATCAGTGAAGAGAGCATGCAAGACGGGCAGACCTGAATCTTAACTACGAGAAAGAAGAAAGGAGGTGCTGGGGCTGGTAAGAGAAAGACCCCAAGGGCTTGCTGCCCACCCAGGGGCACAGCAGGGCTCACCCTGATCCTCTGTCAAAGTAGAAGAGCCGCTCACGAGTTCTGTTGAGAGCGATGGAAGGAGCAGCAAGGTAGTGCTGGACACTGTGCACCGTCCCTGCCTGTCGCTGGTAGATGTCTCCCACCACCTGGAAAACGGCTTCCCTGGGATAGCAGAGGGCAACACGCAGCCAGTCTCCTCTGTCGGCAGAAAGGGCAGGCAGGGGGAAAGGGAAAAAATGCACTTCAGGGCTTGAGCACAAGAGAGGTGGTCTGCAGCCAAGAGTACAGTCTTCAGGGGAAAACAAAGAAATGTCCTTTGAGGTTCTCTTTTTCCTTTGAAAAAACACAACAAATCCTCAAAGCCAAAGAAAATCAGATTTTTTTGCTTTGTCTGGAAACAACGGCTGCTTATTATGAAGGTCTGATGCAGGGACCCCAGCTGACCTCAGAGGACTTTGAGACAGGTGCCAGGATGGCTTAAAATCAGATATTTTCTCTTCCTTGCCCCATAAGGCTGAGGTACAACCAGTCACATACCCACTCACGTCTCCTGAGGCAGCCGGGGCTTGTTTCAGTCCATCCGGAGCTGCTGTGGGAGAGGGAACCAGCATCCAGCAGACATTTCACCGGGGGCACAGATTCAGGAATTAGAAAGTAATCTCCGACTTGAACCAGAGCCACGGTCTAAATAGACCTGCTTCCTCCACTTTACAGCAAAGTTTATTATTATGGTTTCCATTAAAATCTCCCTCTCTGTGGCTCTTTCTGCAATGTCAGTTTAGAGTAACTAAGGGTGAAGTTAAATCGCCTTTTAACTCTTGTTTACCCCAATTTACATATTTACAAAAAAGATTGGCCCCGTGCCTTTCCTTCATCCTGTGATTCTGACTGCCACCCTCTTGCAGAGAAAAAACAGCTCCAAATTAGAAACCTTTAGTACAAGACTTAGAATCAAAGATGCAGCTACAGTGTAATTCAGATACTGATGGGAAGGCTCTTCCACAAAAGATTCCAACACTCTTTCCTGTCTGTGAGATGCACTTGTGCTGTGCAAAGCAGAAAGCCACAAGGAGTTTACACTTAAAAAGAAAAATTGAATACCAAGATAATTAGTTTTTTTTTCCCTCCTTCCTCCCCTCTGAAGTGGCTCAGCCTGTAACACCAGGACTCCTGAACCAGTACCATAGTTTGCTTTCCTTATGCCACCAAAACCATCAAGGATTTAAATGTATTTTTTTAACTTCCTGGTTAAAATGTGAAAATATAAATTTGGCTTAGGAAAAGACAAACATCACCTTCATTGTCTGTCTCCTTGCATCCTGCACACCTCAGGAAGTAAAAATTTCTCCAAAGGCTTCCCTGAAGTGACCCGCCACCCATCCCTGACTGCAGAGCAATAAATGGGGGGAAACCACTTCAATTTGGTGAAAATCTGGGAATCTTCATGCCTAGACCTCTACTTTGCTTTACACATGGAGAGCAATAAAGTAAAGCTATTTCAGCCTTGTTCTGGTTTTTTCATTAAAACAAAACAAAGCTATCTACAGGATGGAAGAGGGGACGGGCTGTTCTAGGATAATAAATCAAAGCCACACAAAGACCCATCAGCTTAAGCCAGATACTGCCCTCTAGATTTTAACCAACTCCAGCTGTGTCATAACACAGGACAGCTTGAAAACGGATATATTTTCAGATGATCTGGTCTCTGACTGGAGGAAATGAAAGAAATGTACCAAAGCCATATTTGTGTAGTATTTTTAGGATGGAATCCCAAGACATTTGGCTGTTTCATAAGGGTGATTTGCATTGTGTTAGCACATTTCATCCCCTGAAGTCACCATCACAAGAAGAGCTGGTCACTCCCCCAGATGCTGGGAACCAGCTTTGGTGCTGTGCTACACTGATTACCACCTCCCCAGGGAATGAGAAAGGCATTAGAAAAGGAAACTGGAGGGTGAAAGGCGAAAAAAAAGGCATGAAAAATCTACAGTTGTGACTGTCTTGAGTTACCAGGGCATTTGGGAATAGGAGTGCCACAGTCTGGTGTGCACGTGAGCAGGCTGAGTGAAGTACTGAAATAAATTACACTAGGACTGAAAAGTTCAAATGAAAAGCACCTACTTTGGAATTTGTGGAGGAAGAGATGGAAATTAGTACATTCCCACAACAGAGGGCTTGGGAGGAGATGTGAGAAGGGAAGGCATTAGAAGTTATCCTCTATGTAAATATAGGAAGGAATAAGGTGGTTATTTTCTCTTTAATTTAGCGGTATTATAACAGCTTCCTATTTAGTTCTGCACTTCAGACTGTTTCTTCAGCTTGTACAAAACCCACCATAAAGCCTCCAAAATACCTGGCTGTGTGGCTGAGCTGGGCTCCAGCACCTCCAGGAAATCAAAACAAGAGATGTCAGCATAGCTGCTGTCCCTGTGCATAGCACAGTCCTGTGACTCTGCCTTTGGGCTGGGCACTGGATGGGGGTTAGATGGCATTGCCAAAACTGAGGGAGAAATGCAGCCTGAGGCAAAGCAGTAACCAGGTGTGGGACATCCTGGACGTTGAGTCCAAAGTAAAACAGATGTGTGTGTATCTTCCTCAGCCACTGCACAAGGCCCTCCTGGCTGGGCTGAAGTACAGAAAACCTTCCTCTTTTTTTGGGTGGTCATTAACTGTGGGTTCTGTTTTATTTCTCTGCTTCGATCTCTTAATTTTATATTATTTATCAGCTGCTACTCTGGGGTGAATATTTGTAGGTAGAATAAGAAAAATTTGAACCAGCCTAAATATGCTGTAGGTAAGTCCTGTAAGCACATGAGCTGACAATGTCACAGGTGCCCAGAGGCTTGGGGGGACACACAGCACTGGCAGGGAATGAAAACACTGAATTCACAGTAGATCCCAAATTATGAATTCAAAGTAATTTCTGCCTGAAGGCTGGGGGAGCGTGTGTAGCTTTAGGTGCTCTTGTGCTTAAAGACCAGCACAAACAAAGGGGGAAATCTCACTTAAAACACAAGGGTAGAAGTCAGACTTGATAAACAAAATGCCAATGTAGCAATACAGAGGACTCTTTTTTTTTTTTTTGAGTCTTCAACTTTCGTTCTAGGAATTTTTTTGTAAGAGAAACAAAATGAAATATTCTCAGGAAGAAAGTCTGACTTTCCAATTTAAATGAAGGTCATACTAATATGTGTAGAAAATTAACTTGAGCTATTTAGGATATTTGCACCCCAAAGCTAAGTGATTGTGTCCTCAAGCTTTTCTAGTGAAAAAGTTAATTTCATTTTATAAATAAGCAAAATTCTTCTTTCTTTTTTTCATTCTTGTTCTTAATCAGGCCAACATTTTTCTTTGTGTTTTTGCAAAAAAAAAACCAAAAATAAAATTGGCATTTAAAGGAGAAAAACTAAATATACGCTAGGAAAAAGACTTTAGTAGGTCCTAACAGTTTCAAAGATTACTTTTTTTGAGAGTCTGCCTACACCGACATGTATAAAACCTGGCACTTCTGCCCCTCTGTCACTGTCATTCAACAATCCCCACAGTGCACTTCATGCATTTTTACCAACATCTTTAGCCTGCTTATTTTCTTTTGGAAATGGCTCTTTTTTCACCAGGATATTGGCATTTGCAGTTCTGGCTCTTTCAGGTGAAGCAAAAACATCAGATAAAGTGCTAAAAAAGTATTCTTATGTTTTGGCAATGAGCAGGCTTCCTGGGATAAGCAAAAGCATAAAAAGGACAAGGGAAAGGCAGAAAAGCAGGCAAGAGGTTTCCTGTTCTTGGACATGTGGTAGATACAGATCTGCACGTACACACATACATACCTCATTTACAACCCTCAGAACATCCCCCCCAGTTCAACCCCAAACTCTCAAAAGCAAAGACACTCAGAGAAACATGATCAAACAGGCAAAGAAGGGGAGACCTTTGTCAGTGGTGGGATATAAAATGAGTCATGTAACTTGGAGATGAGATTTGGCTGGAGTAAACACAGAAAAAGTGCATGTCTGTGGCTCTTACTGCCTGTGAGAGGATAAACAACACTTGTTCAACATTGTGAGCAATTCACAATATTGGCTGCCCTGGATGGAGTGTGATTCCTGGGCAAATGGGTATCATCTAGTGCCGGGTTTTCTGGTTATGCTGGATGTCAATCCTGGCTGCATTTTAGCAAAGGGAACCTCTAAGCTGATGAATAGTATTCTAGAAAACAGTCCCACCATGTTTATTGGCATGGTGTGTCACGTAGCTGATGACCATGGAAGTGCAAGGTCCAAATCCTGATCTCACTGATGAAAATCTGGGGTAAGCTAATGAGGGAATGCCATAGAGTACAACTAAAAATTACTTTTTTTTTTTTCCCTGGGTTTGAAAAAACAAGAGAGTTCTATCCAGTGAGTCAGTCTCCCCCAACTGTTATTACTCCTATTTAAAAACAACCCCTCTGACATTTTGGTCAACATCTACGTGAGTTGAACTTTCAAAGGGAGGGAGAGAACTGAGAATTTAAAACTTCCCTGTTCATAATATGGGAACAAAGCAGAAATCCCCACGTACTCCTTTGGTAAGTTTGTCTCTCACAGGCCGAATTTTAAACTTCAAAGGAAAAAAAAAAAGCATAACCACCATTCAGCCTCCAACTCATCCCAAGAATAAATCAGAGGAGGTCAGTACTCCTTGCTCTCAGTCAGGACACAGATGTTTTTTCCCTCAAAACATTTCTCCCAACCTCAGCTTCTCTTCAAGTCAAGTCCATTAAACACACCCCAAACCTCCTGTGATGACAAACATGGCTGTTGCGTGAACATCCAGCCAATTTTTTCAGGGCCTTGTTGTTAAGGATAGACTCTTCTGAAGGACTGTTGCAGGGATAGTAACAAGTCAGGTGTCTGTTTAGCTAACTAGATTTGTGTGTATTGGGATTTAAATGCGTTTCCTAAATGTTGCTATTTAGGAAATGCCATTGAAAATATCATATCTTAATATAAATTAAAACTTTTTGTTTTATCCACATCTCCTTGGGCAAAAAGATTGATTTTTGCTTTTGTGAAGCTCAACAAATTACAGGAGGGATCCTGCCCTGAGGTACAGTTCTGCTGATCCTCATGAAACCAGGGTCTGACTCAGACAGCATTTGGCTTGCAGACAAATGTATTCAAGCAAAAATAAAAACTTCCTGCATTTAAATACAGTAC